GAGATGTAATATTTCAAGGAAGACGTGAGCCAGCATGGCAATTTGATCAATACTGTCAATACCTTTAATTTATCAATCTATATTTGCCATCATTTCCTGTTTATCAATGAAATTTTTACCATTCTGTACCAAATTGACAATATTTACCACAATACGTTATTTATTTCGATTCAATTATACAATTATTCATTGATGTATCATGTTATTGGGATCTTTTCTTCCTCATCATAATTTCTTGTATCTTGTTCTGTACTATACCACTTATGTTTTTCTCTCCTTTTCTCCTTTTCTCCTTTTCACCTCTTTCTTTCTATCCCGGTGCTCCTTGTTATACGTTGTAATATGTTATATGTTATTGTTAATGTACTTTGCTATTGTATATGTTGTTCATTATAACCTGCCGCCTAACCCACTGGGTTGACGGGCCTGGTTTTTGTGTGTACATGATCTCTAATAAAGACTTGATTTATCATCGAGAGAGGGGGTAAGAGCCTCAGAGAAGAAGGGTGTGATTAAGAGAGAGAGTGGGGTATTGGGTGGAGTCACCACGTAGAGGGGGCAAAAAAGTTGCTGTGTCGGGTCCGCTGTGTCGGTATTCTTGCTCGATCCTCGTGTGCTATACCATATCAATGCAGAAGTTTGAAGTCGGTAAGAATTTTTAAGATGTATTAATAATTATGTCGATCGCCCAGCAAACTTTTTTTCCCTACGAATTGTGACTTTTTATCGGACAAAGAAACATTTTTGAAAATTTAGACAATGATTAAGAGTCGGTACAACGAATCGTCTTCTTTCTCTAAAAATTTAATGAAACGTCAAAGCTTCCGCGCTTTGCGCGGGAGGGGGTAAACTGAATTCAGACGAGGATTGAGAGTCGAAATCAGGACAACGAATCATCTTCTTTCTCTAATAATTGAATGAAGCGTCCAAAGGGAGGGAGGGGGGGGGGGGGGGACAGAATTCAGACAAGGATTAAGAGTCGAAAGCAGTACAACGAATCGTCTTCTTTCTCTAATAATTTAATGAAACGTCAAAGCGGCCGGAGGGGGGAACTGAATTCAGACAAGGATTAAGAGTAAAGAACGGTACAACGAATCGTCTTCTTTCTCTAATAATTTAATGAAACGTCAAAGCTCCCGCGCTTTGCGCGGCCGGAGGGGGAAACTGAATTCAGACAAGGATTAAGAATAGAGAACGGTACAACGAATCGTCTTCTTTCTCTAATAATGTAATGAAACGTCAAAGCTTCCGCGCTTTGCGCGGAGGGGAACAAATTATATTAAGACAAGGATTAAGAGTAGAGAACGGTACAACAAAATTATCCTCTTCTTTATTTCAAACAACTTAATGAAACGTGGGGGAAAACTGAATTCAGACATGGATTAAGAGTCGAAAGCATTACAACGAATCGTCTTCTTTCTCCAATAATTTAATGAAGGGTCAAAGCTTCCGCGCTTCGAGAGGGAGGAGGGGGGGGGGGGGGGGCCTGAAAAATAACTTAGTTCCTGGCCCCGGGTTTATAGGGTTAAATTTGTAGACTTTGGGACATTGGCATTAATATATTTCTTGGTAATTGGTGGCTAGATTTATCGGTAATCGGTGGTCTCTACATGCAGGGGCGGATCCGGCCGGCACCAGAGGAGGGGGGCCCATTTCGTGAGAAAATATTTAGCGGCGAAACAGCCAGTTGGTGAATAAGCGGGGGAGGGGTAAGGAGTACTCATTTTTTGTTTTGCCCCGAAAATTTGAATATTCGCACCCCCCCCCCCCCCCCCCCCCCCTTGAGGCTCAGGGGAGGGGGCCCGTCACCAAATAAAAGTACAATTAACGTGTTTTTAACTGTTTTTTCTCCCAGGGGAGGAGGCCCGGGCCCCCTCTCTGGATCCGCCAGTGCTACACCCCCCACTAAAAAATGTCTAGCGACGCCCCTGATAACAACACAGTTTATACACTAGATACAATTTTTGCAAGTACTACTGGTGAAGTACCAGACCACCGTCTTTGTGCATTGTGCAGTGCAACGCAGCATATATCTCGCGACGTGACAGATTACTTTTCTCTATTTTCTAACCAATCAGTAGACCTCGTTTTTATTCAGGAAGTGCCGTTGGACATTGGGTGCACATCAATGCGCCAAATGTGGTTCTGAAATTGCAAATGCTTCCTACTCAGGGAGGGGGTTCTGACCCTCTCCCAGACCCACCCCGCTTGGTCGCTTGTGCCCCCCCCCCCCCGGTAAGAAATTCCTGGATCCGCCACTGCCTAACCCTAAATTCAAAACAATTTAACTCAATAAACTAATGAATAATGATAAAAGGCCAAGTACACTGAATTCCCCCCGATCCCCACCAGAAAAAAAATTCTATGTGCCCATGCCTTGAGCCATAATGCATGGCCGTACAGAGGATTTTTCTATGTTGGGGACCGGGGTAAAATGCAATGAATTATTGATAATTTATTGCATTTTCTTTGTTTTTGTTTTATTTGTGGGAACTGCCCCCTACCCTAGCCCCCGATGCGTACAGTCATGGTTCAGTGGCAAAGCAATGGCCCCTTGATTGTGAGGCCCCAGGATCAAAACCGTGTCGATGTGCTATATTAGTGCCCTTTTGTGGGGCATTAATACTCATTAATGTCATTTATGACTTAAGGGCGTAGGTCCCCTAGTTGATAAGCATATAAGCATAGGCGCCGGAAGTGGGGGGGGGGGGGCAGGTGGGCACATTTTTGCCCCCCCCCCAAAAAAAAAAAAAAAAAAAAAAAAAAAAAAAAAAAACGCCCCCCCCCCTCCAAAAAAGAAAAGAAGAAAAGCAGTAAAGGAGTAAAGATGATTTGAATTTTTAACCCAAAAGAACATAACAATAATAAAAACCTGAATTAAATCACATATTAAATTCCATTAAAAGAAAAGAAAGATTACAGGACTTAAATTTCCTAAACATTCCACCTATTATCAATGGAGGTTTTTATAATAGCGATACGCGCATATCGTGGAAATATTGTGAGAGGTTGGGAAAGCGTGTGTGTTTTTTGTATAGGGGTGAGAAGACATGAGCCCCTGAACGCTTGCGTATTGAAGGGGGGGGGGGTATTTCTTATTCGATACCAGTGATTTACAAATGTTGCTGAAATGACATGATTTTCCGGTATTTTTTCTCAATTTTTTTTTTAAGTCATACCTTTTTATTTGTTTGTTGGAAAATTAGAAATTCCCAGATTGGCAGTCAGACGAAAAATATGCTTATTTAAAAGCCTTCATATCAGGGTCTGCAGAACGGCTGGGCTCGGGGGCTCGAGCCCCCCCCCCCCCTCACTTTTTTGAAAAAGTATGTTACAGAGAAAAAGAAAGAAAGAGAGAGAGAAAAAATAAGTGACCTGCCAATGACACAAATGAGTTATCAAAATATGATTATCTGACCGTAATAAAATGCCTAAATCCGCAGAGCTTCCGGGGGCTCTGCCCCCTGGACCCCACCAAGGGCCCTAAGGCGGGCCCTTGGATGCTCATCTGACCGTAGTTAAATATCTAAAAACCTACGAGCTTCCGGGGGCTCTACCCCTGGACTCCTCGCCAATTAGTGACCTGCCAGTGTCACAAATAAGGTATCTAAATATGCTTATCTGACCGTAATTAATGCCTAAAAATCCTGAGCTTCCGGGGCTCAGCCCCTTGACTCCCTGCCGGGGCTCAAGCCCTTGGACCCCACGCCAATTTACGCTCTACCTGATCGTTAATACTCTACTTTGAAAAACGTTCCGCGGGGCCTGCATGTACCGTGTAAGAATAGTGGTGATGCAGATTTTTTTTGTGCCCCCCCCTTCCAAACGTTTTTGCTCATTACGCCACTGCCCCTGGAAGGTGAGCCCCCTGGAATGTTTGCCCCCCCCCCCCCTCCCCAATCCCCTACTGCTTCCGGCGCGCCTGCGCATATTAGCATACACATGCTTTAGCAGTCACGCAAAACAAACGCTGGCAAATTATTATTCAATAAAATCTGAGAATGTATACTATTATCTATATCTATTAGGAATAAATCATTGTCAAAATAATTTCATAAATTGGGGTAAAAAAAAGAAGAGACAATTGTACGCATGGCGAAAACCTGCATCATTATTTACCGTTTCTCTCTATTTCATTCTGCCTAGCGTGTCATAAACAAATTTTACTATGATTTTATTGCTTATAAATAAACCCCAAGAACTTTGAACCCGTGCATGAAATTCCTCATTGAATGATCCCACGACTCGCCCCGTCTCGGCCCAGCTCACACCCCCATACATCCACCAATCAGCGATCACAAAGTAGCGAGCCCATGACATAAGCCATAGTATTTCATCCGTTTGTTTCTTGTCGCGTTCGCGTTGTGCACAACCGGAACCAGTGGATTTTTCCGACATTGTGAGTGAAGTGATATGAGTGGATCTGAGTCCTGAGTGAGGTTAACTCAGGGGCGGATCTAGGGGAGGAGGGTTAGCGGTCCTCCCGTTGGCCCCTCAACAAAAACAAAACAAAACAAAAATTCGGGGGCAATTAACGTGATTTTTTTTATGTAGTGCCCCGGGGGGGATTTCTGGCCGAAATTGGTATGCAAATTTTTGCAAATTTCGGGGGGCAAAATGAACAAGAAACAAAAATTAGTGCTCACTAATTCCACCCCAGGCTAGGCTCTCTCTTTCTGCAGAAGGTCTCACCTCCCTACTCGACCCTTTCCTTCTTCTGAATAACTTCTTCTTTTCCTCCAAAGTTCTTCTCATTTTGATCCATCTCGTTTTTCTTCTTCTTTTCTTCGAATTCTTCCTCTAGCTTCTTCTTCCGTTTTGGGGGTGGGGTGGGGATCATTGTGAGCGCATATATTGTAAGCCTATCTTTTCCGGCAGAGTCGCAACGAGAAACAAGCATTTAATTTAGTATAGCCAACACGTACACGTGATCATCACGATACACGATACACACGTAGTACGCACACGTACACATAGCTAGCGCATAGCGCATTCACTTGCGACGAATACGGAATCCAGCTGATCTGAAGAAGGGAAGTGCATTGCGTCATCGTAAATAAATCTCAAATTAACTTAATTTGTGAGAGATACCCGATACGTCTAGCTGCCTTTGGGATTTCATTGTAATCTCCTGTTCACGAAGGTTCGTATATTTGTCTCATTTGTCAATCTGTCGTCTACATCTGCCTACTTCATACCCGAATATTTGTGGATGGATGTGTGTTTTGTGAACTGCTCATGCTGTGCAGCTGTGAGTTGTGTGTGTGGGCACCTGGCATGCGGTATTTAAACGGTCCATTTAAACAATATTGAGGCATGATTGAGTTTTGAGGGAGAGTTATATTTTTAGATCACAAATACTCATGAATTGAATGTTATTTGTGCACTCAGTCTCTGCCAGACTGCACGAAAACAGTGATAAGGGCCAGACACCAACCTTACTTATTTTGCTGTGATTTGTGAGAATGAAAATAATGAATGATTGGACTTGAATTTAGCAGTTGACACTTGTATGTTGTATTTGTAAAATTGATGTCACTTTTTATTAAATAATTCCCCATACCAGACGGTTATTTTCTGGCTGACTAGACCTATGTCTATGCTGACATTGATTACGAACTCCCTCAGTGTTGTATAGACCTAGTAAATATCAAGTTGGCAACATAAAAAACATGCATTTTCGCATAGCCGCAGAACCAACATCGTACTACGGTAACTAGTACTAGGGTCTAGTGCAGTGACTGAGTGTGAGCTGAGCTGAGCCGAGAGGCCAGGCTGGAGGTCAGAGGTCAGAGTTTTTCATGTAAATCGCATGTCACTGTTACTGTTCACATTGTCATCAGAAACATGTGGAAGGTAAAGCAAAGTCCTATTAATCACTCATATTAATCCTTTAATCCTTTATTAAACAGATTTCCACAATTTTTGTTAGATTCGTGCAAGGTTTGGTGTTGCAGGAATAGGTGATAATATACACATTTGAGGTTTTGTTTACATCACACTTCATGTAGGCTTGGCGATATATTAATAATAATAATAATAATAATACATAACATTTATTAGGCGCTTAATACTGATGTTTAATATTTTCATATTTAATATTATTACCAAGCCCTAAGAAGGCCAGCCAGACCAACCATCACACTCGGACTTCACAGACGTAACTTCCACTAATATGCCATATAACACCCTTGTTCATTCATACTCTGTGTTTTTTTTTTCTTCAGGTATTGAACCGGTACGCTAGCTGTTCGTGAAACTTAAATAGTAGAGAAGAAAATAAAGGCTTTTAACCATGGCAACCACACCACAGAATGGAGGGGTTGACAAGCATTGGATCGCCCCTGACCTTCCCTCCCGCTGCACATGGCATCTTGGGATGGAGAAAGGGAAGAGCCCTCACAGTCATGATAAAAGGTTAGTATAAACAGAATCAAATAGATATACGCAGTTCAAAAGTCAAACCTGCTTTAGTGACCACCTGTCTACAAAGACCACATTTTTTGTTTCCCTTGAAAATGGTTTCTCATTAAAACATGTTCTTTTTGGGAACCAGTACTTAAAAACCACCTGCCTATAAAGACCACTTTTCTTGTCTCCCCTCGTAGTCTTAATAGACAGGTTTCACTGTAGTTGGAATCACACTGAGGCCTGAGTAGACGGTACGCAGGGGAATAGTTTTTAGTTTGAATATACGTTTCTGCTTCCTCTTCGCTATTTAAGTACAGGCCACTTTTGGATGTATTCTCGTACTGATGTACATGTACATGTAGATGGTGTGCAGTGGTGTACATGGACTCAACTTTGTTACTAAACCTAGTATCTATATGTACACACTATGAATATGACGGACAAAGAAAGTGGACAAAATATACAGTTCCTCATTCTACCTTCCAACAATTGCTGTGGTAGACAAAGGAACATCCCTTCACTGCTATTATGTAAAAACTTGTAGAACAGGTGAATATGCATGTGACACCCCCCTGTTCTACACAATTTTACATTATAGCAGTGAAGGGATGTTTCTTTGTCTACCACAGCAATTGTTGAGGGTAGAGTGAGGAACTGTATATTTTGTCCGCTTTCTTTGTCCGCCATGTTCATAGTGACATGTACAGTACATGTATGTACATGTATGTTATAACATTTTTGTAGTAAGGGTGTCAGTTTCCATGTTACACTTGAAATCCTGCCAAGAAATTGAATCGATAGATCACTGTCAAAGGAAAGATAAATGCAGCCAGCATATTCCGCTTGGAATCCTATACAGAGACCATAGTCTACATGTATGTTTATTCAATCTGGAAGAACAAATTAAAGAATTCATTAATGCATGTGTACATGATTCAACTTGAATCATTCATATCAGTTTCAAGTATCCCCTTCAACATGTTAGAGACATCCAGGTTTTATGACTGACAACAGAAGGTCAAATAATTCCTCTTGTCTTTCGTAACCAATGTGACACACTTTTAAGTCAATAATATATTCATATTTAAAAAACCCACAATACAGAAATCTCTTTAAATGACTTCATCCATTTTCATTAATGGCATGCCAAGACAAGAATTAAGAGGAAAAAACCCCATCATGAATATCAGTTTCTTCAACAAAACAAACATGTACCGGTATTCACTGTTTTCTGCATCCATGCACCCACCAACCATGAGATATATTTCGGTCTGCACGGTCATCCAGGTTCTTATTGACAAACAATGAGATGTGGTTTTAAACTTGCACAGTCATCCTGGATTCCTGGTACTTTTGCGCAAAGCGAAATATACAGTACAAATGTTTTTTCTGGTTGGCATAAAACCATTCATATAGATAATAGTTGCAGTATATTTATGCGACACTACTTGGAATATATCAAATAAAATCTCTAAATATGCAGGGAACTCATATCTTCCTTGGATAGTCTTAAGGCAAAAATCCTAACTTGATTGTTAATAAGTCATTTACACTGTAAGAGCTAAACATATGATTAAAAGGGCTTCTATTTATCTACATGTACAGTACATGTACACTTCACATGTACTGGTACTTAATCTTATTACAGGATGTTTATAAACAGTGCAATGTCAACAACCTTTGTTTGAGTTCAGCCCCCCAAATCCTGGTAATCGGTTAAGCAATGAATTTGTGTAGGGTTTTGAACTGAAGCTGTCTGAGCAATATGTGTGATACATATGAATCATAAAATTAATCACCAAACTGTTTCCTGTACTACCAACTAGATAGTTCTCTCAATTTTTACTCACTGCTGTCTTACTTCCTCTTGCACACTCTCTTCTGTTCTGTTTAAATTTTAGTAGAATATTACTAGTCATGATGATGAATTGATGATGATGATGATGTGCCAATATATTTGTTCAGAGTTGTAAATCATTATCATTATTGGTTAATAGAAAAGTACTTGGAAACTGCCACTCTTCATCTTATCAGTGTGTCACAGCATTTATTGCACATGACAGTCTGTAAATTTATTGCTCAATCTCAATAGTATTTGCACTGGCTATCAAAAAGCAAATATATGAAGACTGATTGCAGAGAATGAAATGACAATAAAATGTGTGTTTAAAGAGCCCTGCCCACTCCTGAGTAAACTGACGTTTATTTGCACACGCTGACTGAGATATTGTAAGAATTATTTCTTTGTGTTTGATGGTAAAATTGGGTTTCTATGAGGTCAGACTTTGACAAAATAGGGATGTATCATGTAACACATACTGTACATTGGTTAATTGTTTGAATTTACATGTACGTCATGTACTGTATATCTCTCATAGAAAGGCTCATCTTCATTATTCTTAGTTTTCAAAATAATTCAGAACAAGGCCGGGGGCAATTAGCCACAGGCATCTCATACTTTCGTTCTTGTGGGTTTCCAGTCAATTGGCCTGTACTGTATGTCGTCAGTCCTAGAAGTGTCATAGTCGAGCGGTTTAGGCACTTGACCTGAAATGCAAAGGTCACAAGTTCAATCCCTGACACATCTCTAATGTCCCTTGGCAAGGCATTAATCTTCATTTGCCACTCCATACCCATGAGAGAAATAGGGACCTGGTAGGATGACAAAAGTGTTAATAGTAATACCATGTGCCCTCATAGTGACCATATGGTAGGAAAACTCCCAGGGAGTGGAGATGGTGCACATTTTGCATGTTACTGTAACTAGTTTTTTGCAGTATCGCAGGCAAAAATCTGCAGCTGTGTCAGTTATCCGCGCAAAAAGAGTTTCGTGAATACAGTCTGTATGTAGTCTCATTCCCCAGACTTACTTAGATATTCTTTTTCACCATCATTTATTAAAACCAAAAATTATTCTTAAAATTGCAAATACATGTACATGTACAAGATGATACAAAGAGAGAAAAAATCACTTAACAAATTGATGTTTGAAATTAAAAATAATAATAAATAAACAATTTGTTTACGGTATACCACTAAAAAACTGTGTTGTTTGTGTACATCCATACATGTATAAAACAATGTACCGGTATGCAGAGAATTGACACGGCCAAAGATTCTTCCCTTTGATATGCATATTCAATTACACACGCACTAATGTTTATGCCATGTGTAATTAAAGTTTGTTGGTGATAGATATTAATTACTTGTCTCTAAAGAGGGTCACGTCTTCTAGGTTACATGTTAACATGAAACCTTGCATGTCAAGCGGGAAAACAAATTAGGATGAGGGCATTTTCTTTGAGTACACCATCAAAGATTTAATATGATTACGTAATCAGAAGCCACAGATCTGAAAGGGTTGAATCATTGGATATAATGACTTCATTCAAAGGGAAAATGATAGTAATCTTTATGGTTTTTTCTCTCCATGTGTTCTTTTGTTTAGAGTGATTTGATTACATGATCAAAACTGATAGAACATGTTTCCTCATCAAACAGGCTTCTTCAAAAGAGAAACCTGATTTGATTTGATTTAATTTGATTTAACAATCTAAAAAAAAAGAAAACCTGTATAAATTATAACATGGCGAACAGCAAAATGGTACAGGATTATATGGACGGATGGCCCTATGAAGAGTCCAAATGATAAAAAAGGAAGTACCAGTAGAAGAAATTATTTTTTAAAAGAAAAAGAAAAACAATTCTGTATATAATTTTAAATGTCTGTTGCAGTGAGGGAAATCAGGTTCGGAATATATGAACACATGGCCCTATGGAGGGGCCAAATGATAAAACAAGCAAGAGGAAATTATTTCTATTAAAACGAAAATTCAATGATTTTTCTGTAAACATATTTTTCAAATTTCTTTTTCAGTGAGGGTAACAAGGTTCGAGAGAGGGCGCAACCTACCATCTTGAAGATGATCGGAAACACGCCCCTCATCCGCATCAACAACGTCACCAAAGGGACCGGTCTCAAGTGCCAAATATGTAAGCATTAATAATTTATTCCAAAGATTTCTTTACGTTCTTGCATATACGGTAGCGTATATAACATTATCTTCTTCTTCTATGAATTCATCACATGTATGGAAATGTTGTACATGTATGGTAAGTATTAAACATTTTCTAGCCTGGATGTTGTATTTTTTAATGAAACGTTGTATATAACAAAATACATGTTTGAAACTTGGCGCATCGTTATATATGAAAACTCAATACCAATATTCATTACATGGCTGTAGAGATACGTTATAGCTTCATGTACAATGTATGGTACATGTAAGTATTAAACATTTTCTAGCCTGGATGTTGTATTTTTTAATGAAACGTTGTATATAACAAAATACATGTTTGAAACTTGGCGCATCGTTATATATGACAACTCAATACCAATATTCATTACATGGCTGTAGAGATACGTTATAGCTTCATGTACAATGTATGGTAAGTATTAAACATTTTCTAGCCTGGATGTTGTATTTTTTAATGAAACGTATAACAAAAACTTATGCTTGAACATCGTTTCATTTGAAAACTTAATACCAAAAATCATTACATGGCTGTAGGGAAACTTTTATTATACAGTGTACATGTACATGTAGCTGCATGTATGGTAAGTGTTTACATTTTTTCTAGTTTGAATATTGTATTTCAATGAAACGTTTTATCATAGCAGAATGTGGTTTGAATATCGTTTCAAATTCCAACTCAATTAAGAATCGGGATACTGTTCTTCTCGTCTGAATATGTTTTGTACAAAAACTGTATAAATATGCAGCCCTGTCTTATCCTGAGTGTGCACTGACAATTGACCAGCTGTCATCAAAGCTGACACTTATGTCAACTGACCTTAGATTAATCATTATGTTATGCTTCTTTGTATGCTGTACAATTATTCTTTATTAACAAGTGTCATATGACATGTATTTCTTATAGTGTAAACTGGCTATTAGTATCTTATTACTATTAAAGTTTTCTTTAAGTTTTACCAGTAGAAAAATTCAAATTTAAAAAAAGAAAATAAACTGTTATTTTGCTAATGATGAATATTTCAGCAACCATACTTTTTTAAACAACATTTGGATCCTTTTACAAGTTTTGAGATTTTCACTGTACAAATCCTTGCAACACCCTTTAAAGCAGGACTGCACTACTTGTAGCTACTTGCATCCTCTTTGAATAGCAAACCATGCCTTAGCGGTGCCTGTTGGTCCCCCATGATCCCCTTTTTCTTATGTTAACTGAGAGCTGATTTGATCGCGCCTTTGAATGTTTTTATAAACAGATCATACAAATGCTGTGAATCATCATCATCATCAGCTGATTTGATGAGATAAAACTACCTGCCAGTGACCTTGCAGGGAGGTTAAATCCCTCCTGGCCAAACTAGTACAGACAGGCTTTAAAGGACACCCCATGTACTTACTCTTTACCCCAATCATGCCTTTGTAGCAAATTAACACCCATTATTAACGGAAGGACATGTTTAATGTAGGGAAAAAGAAGAGGGGAGCGGAGAGGGGGGGGGGGGGGGGGTCTGCAATTTGATAACCAGGCTTCAGCCAGTGACTCAAGAGGGGGAGGGGGATTGTTTAACAGGTGCAGATCTAGATTCTATTCTTCTCTGCATGGCGCATGAGGGGAGAATCCTTGAATTTTGGTTCCTGGTGGGACATTAATTAAGAATTAAGTGTCTGCAAGAGGGAGAAGAGTGACACCATTTTCAGATGGGGTCAGCCGTCAGCGATGCAGCTGCACGCATACAGTATATATGCTTGGTGCTTGGCTTCGCTCTTTCATTTTACACAGCAACAGTTTGAACTACAGATTACTTGTAGATTTAACAACAACAATTCATCTGGTTTTGTTTACTTGACAGTTAATTGTGAGGATTGTCACCAAGTTTCTACATGTAAGAAGAATCTAGAATCCTGACATTTGAAATTAGAGTTATTAGACCATCCGCCTATCACTAAAGCAAAACTATTATTTATCTTGTTAAGAATGTCTTTATTGTGCAATGTTATGACTAACTCTTATGTCAAGATTCACAGTCATCTGAATGACAGAGCTGTTTACCAAGCGTGTGTAACTGTGAACTGTGTACTGTATAGTTGTGTACACACATTAACAATGTGCCAAGTCATGCAAACACACAGACATGCACTGGTAGTTGATAAATACTATGAATGAACACATTGAATTGAATTGAAGTGAATTGAATTTATTTTTAATGCACAAAACGTGAAATAAAAGTGTACAATGATACCTGTATAATATCAAATGAAGTGGAGGGATAACAAAAGTCTGAAAAAATACAGTCAAACCTGTCTATAGTGACCACCCAAGGGAAACCAGTGGTCTTTGTAGACAGGTTCCTTTGGTACATGTTTCAATGAGAAACCATTTTCAAGGGAACAATAAATGTAGTCTTTGTAGACAGGTGGTCACTAAAGCAGGTTTGACTGTACTTACTCTCGATCATCCCCTTTATTAACTTCTGCTACTTGGCTTGTCAGGAGATCCCATTCAAAGGAACCCATCTCTCTATTAAATTAATACATGCTGACAACGTGTTTATTAAAGAGATTACACTGGTTACCAGGTATCTGTTTGTGCTGGAATTAAGTTATCCTTATGTGAACCTTGAAGGCTTGAAGTGTCTGAAAAGACAGGCTCCTATGTATCAAAGGAGTCCATCTCTCTTTAATACATGACAATTACACGTTTAGATGCTGCTTGTAAGTGTCGGCTTGCATGGTGATGTAAGCCTACTGTATAACTACATGTTTATTCTAAGAGATTACACTAATAAGTAATACCTGTTTGTGCTGGAATCAAGTCATCCTTGTCTGAACCTTGAAGTGTCTGGAAGGATTGGCTCCTACGTATTTGACTGAACTACAGTACTTTAATACCCAATACATATATTTTGCTGAGTCTCTCCTTACATGTCTCTCAAATAAATATAAAGTTCTATGGGTCATGCTCTTCATGGGTTGCATCAGCAGGGCTTTGGAATAAATTGCTAGAATATATCAAAAATTATGATTCTGTTGACAAGTTTTAAAATGTTTTTTTCTTAGAAATAATTTCCTTCTCTGTATTAGAGTGCACACACACTGCACAGGGCGGGACAGATACATGTATATGCTATATAATATAGGATATTATTGTAATTTTATTACATGTATGTTGCTTGTAATACTTCAGCCACACAGCCAAATAGACTTCAAATAAAAATCACAGCCGAGGTCTAATTCTCTCTTCTTAATCGTTCTATGCCTCATTTGCCACTCTTACAATCTTTTCACAAAACAGGGACCCCAATTTGATGGAAGGGTTGCTTTTGTGCAAAACATGGGCTTTGCTAAATGACCTGTATCATGACAACCCTTTTGACACAAGTATGGATTAATCTGGCCCTGGAAACACTTAAATCTAAATAATCTGTAGGCTTTTGTTATACATGTACATGTACAGTACCTCCATCCCGTGATAAATGTAATAAAGGCAGATTTCTTTTGTGGTACATAGAATGTTACAGAGATATTACAAGGTTAAATACACTCTTAAAGGCATCATTTAACAATGTTAAAGGGATCCGGTAACTTTGTCTTAGATCCTTTAGAAATAATCCTTGATTTAGCTCATGCTGCAATGATAATTATAAACCTTTGGGTCAGTCAGGAACCCCATGACTTTTACAAGCCGATCGCCTGTCTGATTATCAAGATATTAATGATTGGAATTACAAATTTTGAAAACCGTTCGCTGAACTGTTTTCATAACACTACAGTCTATTGGGGAAAACGAGTATGGTAAAACCGGTCACTCAAAGATTTTTACTTTTTTGAGGCACTTCTTGATCATTTTGAAGCGTGATTTGTTTGGGGCTTCAATATTACACCATATCACAGACACTTGTAACATGAAGGACCGTGTATATCAGATTTAACATTGTTAAACGATCCCTTTAAATCTGAGATACATGGCCCTACATATTATCAGTGTCTGTGATAATGGTGTAATATTGAAGCCCTAAAAAAAATTAGGCTTTAAAATGATCAAACAGTGCCTCAAAAAAGTAAAAATCTTTGAGTGACCAGTTTTACTATACTCATGTTCCCCATTAGACTGTAGTGTTATGAAAACCGTTAGGAAAACACAAAATTTGATTTTGATTTCCAATCATAAATATCTTGATAATCAGACAGGCGATCGGCTTGTAAAAGCCATGGGGTTCCTGACTGACTTAAAGGCTTATAATTATCATTGCAGCACAAGCGCGTAGCCAGGATTTCATTTTAGGGGGGGCGGTAGTGAGCATGCGAAGCGTGCGAATCACTAGGGGGGTGGGTGCAGGGAGGGGGGAGTTTCCCCCCTCCCGCCCGAAGCTCGGAAGCTTTGAAAGAAGACGATTCGTTGTACCTTTCTCGACTCATAATCCTTGTCTGAATTCAGTCCCTCCCCTCTCTCGCGCGAAGCTTTGACGTTTCATTAAATTATTAGAGAAAGAAGACGATTCGTTGTACCTCTCTCGACTCTTAATCCTTATCTGTATTCAGTCCCTCCCCTCTCTCACGCGGAGCTTTGACGTTTTATTAAATTATTAGAGAAAGAAGACGATTCGTTGTACCTTTCTCGACTCTTTATCCTTGTCTGAATTCTGTTCCCCCCCCCCTCTCGCGCGAAGCTTTGACGTTTCATTGTACCGTTCTCGACTCCTTTTCCCTTTTTCTTCCTACGTCCTCTTTCTTTTTTTTCCTTCTCTTTCTCTCTCTTTTTTTTTTTTGGCCGGCGTTTTTTTGGGGGGGCGACTGCCCCCACCGCCCCCCCTGGCTACGCGCCTGTTGCAGCATGAGCTAAATCCAGGATTTTTTTTAGAATCTGAGGCAAATTTACCCAATCCCCTGAATTTAAAATATAAGCGACTTGTGAGTAAAATGGTCAGTGCAATTATTTGCACACACAGAACCCAAGTCTGACTGGGGTCCATGTGCATGATAAAATTCTTTACTTACATAACTTGTAAAAAGAAATCAAGTGTGTGTTTGTAAAGCCAGAAAGTTCTGTGGTGTAGCGCATAACATCTTTTGCCCCTTTAAGCATGGTTGAAATACAACTAACACAACACAGAAAGTTTGCAACTTGTGAAAGTTTCTTGCTCTTAAAATTGTCATCATTTACAATTTTCAATTGTCAAACATTTTTTATTTTTACTAGCATATTTTCATGTATTCACCTCAATATCACGTACACGTTTCATAGATTCCTCTTTTTCCTTCTTCTTCTTCTTGTTTTGTTCAGTGGCTAAGTGTGAATACTTCAATGCCGGTGGAAGTGTCAAGGATCGCATTGCGTTGAAGATGGTGGAAGATGCAGAGAAAGATGGAACACTGAAACCCGGATATACACTGATTGAACCAACGTCGGGAAATACAGGTGAGAGAGGGAGAGAGAGAGAGAAGAGGACACAGACAGACATACATGTATAGATGGACACAGAGGAGAAGGAGGGGGTTGGAGATATATACAGAAGGGGAAAGTGTGTGTGTGAGAGAGAGAGAAGGGGGGGGGGGGAGGGAGGGGGAAGGGGGATAGAGAGATATATGTATATATATAAAGAGAGAGAGAAAAGAAAAGGGATTGAAATGGTCAAGACTGAAGAGAGTAATAGACAGCTTTGGGGAACTTCACGCATTTAACATTATGGAACACAGATGTATTAAAGATGACAGAAAATTAAAGAATGGGTGACTCTCATGCTGACAGACTGAAAATAAGTGAGAGAGAAGAGACTGCATTTTTTCTCCTTTTGTGCTTATATATATTTTTAACTTCTATTTTTGCGATATAGGGATTGGTCTAGCCCTGGTAGCTGCGGTGAAGGGGTACCGTTGCATCATCGTCATGCCGGAAAAGATGTCCAATGAGAAGGTCGACACCCTCCGCGCCCTGGGAGCCGAGATCGTCAGAACCCCGACGTCTGCAAGGTTTGATGCTCCGGAATCTCACATCAGCGTGGCGCAGCGTCTGAATCGCGAGATCCCCAACTCCGTGATTCTAGATCAGTACAGGAATGCAGGCAATCCGTTGGCACATTACGACAATACGGCAACAGAGATTTGGGAACAGTGCAATGGTATGGTTTGTTTTATTTTCATTCATTTTTTTTTCTTCCTCCATCAATCGCTGCTTTCCCCTTTTCTCTCAAATTATTTCAGCTTGTTGAGATATGGCACGGTAGCATACTGCAAAAATACTGGCGTTGTTTTTTAAGTTTTATTAAATCTTAATTGCGCACAACAAAAGGCTTGCGCATATACACCAAGCTAGGAATTTGGTTAGTGTCTGAAATCAACCAAGTAGCAATTGTCACTGGAGTACTTCTTGTAGAACTCTTTACTCTATTTGAATCACCATTGATTCACAATCATCTTATTTGCTGCTCTCTTGTGTTCTTATACAAACAAGTAAGGTTGTTTTTTAACGTTCTAATGAATCTCAATTGTGCGCAACAATAGGCTTGCGCATATATACAATGAGCTAGGAATTTGTTTAGTGTCGGAAATCAACCAAGTAGCAATTGTCACTGGAGTATGTGATGTAGAACCCTTTCCTCTATTTATATCACCATTGATTTGCAATTGTCTTATTTGCTGCCCTCTTGTGTTATTATACCTACAGGCAAGGTTGACATGGTTGTTTGTGGAGCTGGAACAGGAGGTACTGTGACTGGAATCGGCAGGAAGCTCAAGGAACTCAACCCTCATATAAAGGTATAAATCTAATAAAGTATTTCTTTATGATACCTCGGTGCCACTCTCTCATTCCCTTCAAGCATTCCCTTTCTCTTCCTCTTTCTTTTTCTCTTCATTCTTTTCCTCTTCATCTTCCTCTTTCTCTTCCTCTTCCTCTTCCTCTTTCTCTTCCTCTTTCTCTTTCTTTTTTTCTTTCTCTTTCTCGTTCTCTTTCTCTTTCCTTCTTTCCCTTTCTCTTTCTTTCTCTTTCTTTTTCTCTTCATCTCTTTCTTTCTTTTCTCTTTCTCTTTCTCTTTCTCTATCTCTTTCACTTCCTCTCTCTCTTTCCCTTTCTCTTTCTCTTTCTCTTTCTCTTTTTCTTTCTATCTCTTTTCCTTTTTTTTCTCTTTATCTTTCTCTCTCTCTTACTCTTCCTCTCTCTCCCTCTCCCCCTCCTCCTCTCCTCTCCTCTCCATGTTTTTCATCTATCCACCATACTCCACTATCCCAACATCCCAAGTTCTTTATCATCTGCTTTCTCTCAATCTTGATCTCCCTTGATCTCTCTCTGCCACTTCCATTGAATCTTGTAAGAAGCTAATTTTATTGAATAGAACCTATTTATTTTGACAAAAATAGATCACAACTATATATTGTGTATGCTTTGCTCATCCCTGTCACTTTTATACCATATACTGAAGCGTGCATGTGACAGTTACGCTCCAGTCTCTTTCGTTTGGTATTACTCTTTTGCTTGTAAACATATCGTCTGTTGGGACCAGAAGGGTGTTCCCTCATGAACATTGACCAGGGACCCTTTTCACAAAACTTGTCATCAGTGACAAATGACAGTTTTTGTTATAAGCTACTGAAATCCTTGCTTCTGATTGGTTATCAGCAGATTTGTCACTGATTTTTGTCACTTGTCATTGAAAAAAGGATTTGTGAAACGGGTTCCTGGAGTTGATGCCCCTCTGCCTCTGAACAGAGTAAAGAATATTAAAACTGAAATTAATGATTGATGTTTTTACTCATAGGTTGTAGGAGTTGATCCTCTGGGTTCTATCCTCGCCCAACCAGAGAAGCTTAACGAGACAGACGTCACAAGCTATGAAGTGGAGGGAACTGGTTACGACTTCATTCCGACAGTACTGGACCGAACAGTCGTGGATATGTGGCTCAAGGTCGGTGACAAAGAGTCCTTCGTAATGTCAAGGAGACTTATCAAGGAAGAGGGACTACTCTGTGGTAAGTTGCCACCCCCATTTTTCAAGAATGGAATAGTCTGCGCATTGTGTTCAAGGTTATTCCATAGTAAAACTGGAGATGGTCATATCTTACAACACACTAACACAGAGATCAGTGAATCCCCCCCCCCCCCCATGAGACCTTTGTTGCAAACAGTTACCATTCATTTACACATAACAAATGAAAAAGATTGAATGAAGGCTTGTCAATCATGCCAATGTCCTTTGGCAAGACATTGATCTACATTTGCCACATTCAACCCAGGTGATATAAATGGGTACCTGGCACGAATTAATTCTTTGAAATGCTAGAGCGCCGCAATGGCGGCACAGCTAAATCTGGGGTAATAATCTCCAAGTTTGGAAGCGCTTAGTGATTCTAATAAGTGCTATATAAAAACTGAGTATTATTATTATTATTCAAATGTCCAAATTGTCTTCGTACAGGTGGTAGTAGCGGTGGCTCAATGACCGGTGCGTTGGAGGCTGCCAAGTCCCTAAGAGAAGGCCAGACTTGTGTGGTGCTCTTAGCGGATTCGGTCAGGAATTACATGTAAGTTACCGGTAAACTTATGAAGTACATGTTAAAGGTATAGACCAGGTTTGGTCATGCGATTGCATTGTGAAAGAAACGTTGTGGAATCGATCAGAAAAGGTTGATCATGTAGCATATAAGTATTGGTGTGTACTGCAAGGTTCTGGAATCATCAAAATGATAAGAAATTTGGCCCAGTCTCCGTAAAGTTACAAGTACTGTACATAGAAAGATGTAGATGGGACTACGCCATATCTATCCAGTCCGGATAGATAGTAAGCGGTTTCCTGGCAAAATTTGTATGATCACGTATAAGTAAAAAATATTCTTTCACATGATTGGTAAATAAGAGCTTCCGTTTCATTTTTTGAGAGGGGGGCGTTTCCAAAACTGGTCTATACTTTTAATGTGTACTAAAAAGTAATTTGTGTACAGCTAGAATGTATAAATTAAACTACAAACAAATTTACCTGGTATGGTATGGTATGGGTTATTGGATAAGGTGCATGAAAAATAAAAATAAAGAGTAACATAAAACCCCACGCACAGAACCAAAGTTGGACTTACTGGGAGGAAAACGTTGAGGCATGGATTGAAATGACACCGCAAGAGTGTACTAGGGTGGTATGTGGAGAAAAAAAATGTTGCTATTAACCTTTCAGCTGGGAGAAGATATCTTGATAGACAGATAGGAGAATATACCTTGATAGATAGCTTGAAATGTTTTATTGGTGTTTCAAACCTTATTTAATTTATTTCTTTCTTTTAGGACCAAGTTCTTGTCTGACGACTGGATGGTTGAGAAGGAATTCATTGACAAGCATGTGGATAACACACCACAACATTGGTAAGAAACTCTGCTCTGTACTGGTGTTGTACTCGAGTGGTGTGAAAAATAATGATATTAAGGGTCGGGTGACATCTAAATATAAGTTGATTCCTGTTGATATGCAGGGCTGCATACAACTCATATTTTAGATGCTGTTTATAATTATCGACTTGAATGGTGATGTAGATATACAGTAGGCTTACAGTTGCACCATGTGAGAGAGGGGGGAGGGGAAAAGATTGGGGAGTCCTGAAAAGGACTGTCGGTAATCTTTCTTTCTTGAGTATGTGTGTGTGTTGTCCTGAAAAGGACTGTTGGTAATCTTTCTTTGAGCTTATAGTTCTAAAGAGGACTATAGCACCGGTTGGAGAGAATGGGTAGTAGGAGGGGCTAGACGTTTCAAACAGGTTGACTGTCCACCGTCAAGAGACGGAAACGGATGATCATGATGATGACAATGAGGTTGAGGGTGAGGAAGATGATTATATAGGTAATGGTGAGTTGAAGGAATATCGAATATGAAATCCCTTAGACATGAAAGTTTCAAATGTTTAATTCTTGAAAATATTTGACTTCTATTTCTCTGTGTGTTTGTGAAGGTGGTGGAATCAGCCGATATCGATGTTGAAGCTGGGCGCCCCCTTGACCGTCCTCCTAACGGTCAGCTGCCAGGACGCTATCGACATCATGAACAAAAATGGATTTGACCAGCTGCCCGTGGTAGAAGAATCTGGGTAAGACATTGTAGGTGTGCAGATCTGGGAGTGATGGGTCAGTGGTAAAGCAGTGGAATTATAACTGAGAAGTCCCGGGTTCGAAACCAATTCGATCCGCTAGTGCCTTTTGGTGAGGCATTAATTAATCCTCATTACCAAGTCCCTCTGAGAGGACTTAAAGCCATTGATCCCTGGTTGCGTACGTATAAGCATGCACATGCTTTCTTAGCAGTCAGGTGAAACAAACAAACAAACCAACCATACTAACGTAGACAACTTATTCTGTGAAGGTGTCCTAGTACAGTGGTTCATTTTCTTGACTCTCAATCCTAGGGTTTAGGGTCCAAATCCTGACCCAACTCATCCACTTTTGCCACTTTCAACCCAAGCGTAAATGGGTACCTGATATGCCAGAGCGCTACGTATTTGGCCGCCAGCAACGACCAGAGTAATAATGTTAAGCCCCAGGAGCCTCACAGCATGACAGACTTGTGTGCTCTCTAAGAAGCCACCATTATTATTATTATACATTTTGGAAATAGATTCCTGGATTAGAATTCAAAAGTTAACTTAATTTTGTCATTTAAAAAAAAATGTATTATATTTTTTACAGTGATGTGAAGGGAGTCGTAACCCTTGGTAGTCTCATGTCCCAGCTGTTAGCTGCTAAAATCAAGCCTTCTACACCAGTCGCTGACTGCCTGTACAAACAATTTCGAACAGTGAGTATATTTAAAGACTAATACTGATTTCTTTATTATGAAAGTAATGTATCAAATCATTTTCAATTTGCAAGAAACTTGAACACAAGGATTTTCATGCCACAAATTGACAAAATAATTCAATCACGTTTTGGACTGTCTGTAATATTCAAGAGTCTCTTGCTGCTAAAACCCCCCCCCCCCCAGCGTAAACAATGTATAACAGTTTTATTACCTTACAGTAGACTTTAATGATGTAATGATGATTCTATTAGGCATTGAATATCAAAATATCAATGAAATCTACTTTTATGACACCCAAATCTAGTAATGTGTACACTGTAGATGCACATTTAATTAGGTTTTTAGCTTTATTTTTAATTTCATAAGTTGTTGTTGTTTTTGTTGTTTTAATTGTATAAATATATGATCTGTGTTGCTGGGTATGTTCTTTTCTTAATCTTTCAATACTAAGTATGAGATATTGAGACTTGACATTAATCTACATTTGACACTCTCCACCCAGGTGTTAAACAGTTGTCTGGAAGTATGCAAAATTTCATGTGGTTGGATTGGCATGTGTGCACTTGTAAAATGTCACTCGGCTAGGATACTCCCCAGGGAGCAGAGCATGTGCACCATCATGTGGGGATTAGCAATTGAATCCAAAAACCAAGATGACAATAGTTACAATGTAAAGTGCTTAAAATTCAGTATTATTATAGTGCCATTCAAATGTGACTTTCATTAAGTTGATCTTTTTATTTTCTTGATTGTTTTCGATAGGTTACTCTGGATACCACGCTCGGCAATCTCTCCCGAGTTTTTGATCAAGATCATTTCGTTCTTATCCTTCAGGATCAAAGACTGTGTAAGTTATCTTCAAGTAAACAAATTTAAAGGGTCAGTGACACAAAGACGTAACTCCATTTGGCAATATTGAGAAAAATTGGTTTACGTGTCACTGAGCACTTGGGCCTTAAGGAGTTAAGTCTTTGTTTCACTAGCCATCAACTTCAATGGGGTGTTGGGTGGAGTTAAGTCTTTGTGTTTCCTTTTAAAGCCCACATTTTTCTGAACATTTTGATATCAAATAATTCATTTGGGCAAAATATGGAGTTACGTGTTTGTGTCACTGAACCCTCAAATTTTGATGCATTTAAATGATCTTACATCTTACAGTTAATAACAAATAAATTATTCATACCCCTTGTAGAATTGATGATTGGTACACTTCAATATCGCCGGAATGGACTCCACTTCTGAGTTATCCTGAATTTATTTTTTTACCTATTTCCATCCAGACTCTGCAAGCCAAACTGTGGCCCAGAAGAAAATGATCTTCGGCATCGCGACACGAATCGATCTTCTCCATTACATCACTCAGAGCCAACCGAAAGCGAATGGCGTAGAAAATGGTTCCTAATCGGTAGATCAAAAACATCTTGACCTTCAGGTTTCTAATTGAGTTTGATAAGAAGAACAAGATTGATTTTCTCTAGCAGACTTCACATTCTTTCTGCAGGCAAAATATACAAATTCAACCAAAAAAAATTAAGAAAAAATGTTATGGTGAACAACTTGCTACATTGCATCGACAAACCACTCGTTATAGAGGTGATTGTAGCGAGTACATTATTCTACTTCTAATAGTTTATAGTCAATGTTCATTCATGTTTAAGACAAGAAATGTTAAATCCTATTTTTCTGTTCTGTGAAGAGATTCTACTTTTTAATGACATGTAAAATAATCAGTCTATGTAAATCAACAATTACGTTTTTTTTTCTTCTCGCTCTCCTTCTCTTCATATTATGTATACAGGTGCACGTATGTTCCATATACAGTTAAAGTGTATATGGGATACATTCAAACCTGTCTTAGTGGTCACTTCTCTATATAGGCCACCTGTTTATAGCAACTAAGTATTTTGTCTCTCTTTAGAAAGAAATTAGAACCTGTCTAGAAAGGCCACCTGTGGCCTGTTTCCCTCGAGTGGCCTTTATAAACAGGTTGACTGTTTTTCCATTTTCTTGATTTATTTATTATTGAAATTATCAGAAAAGTGAGTTAATCATAGTTTGAACATTTTCCTTGTAAGTAGCTTGAAAAAAACTTACTTTTTAGCCTCATTGATCATGTTTTTTAAGTGTTGATTGAATCTGTTAAAACTTGTGTACAGTTTTGGTAGCAAAAAGGACATGGGATTTAAGTGCGTTAACTATAGTCTTGCATTCTCCATGTATCAAAAGATGTATATAAGAGATCATTTAATATTCCATCCATGATTGTGGTGAATTTTAGCATAAATATGTGAAAGGAATGCGATCACGGCCGTACACTGCCCTGCGCAAGGAACCTTCCGCTCTGACGGCTCCCGGCACAACAATCTAGCTGCTGTGCTTGAAGATAGTGATAGTGTGTGTGTGTTACAATCCTCTTGTGTATAGTACATATAGTACGTATATTGCTGTATAAGGCGTATACATTATTTTTGCCTCTCATTTGATTAATATTTCACTTAAGGAGGAAAACAAACTTCACAGCGGCCTACCATTTTCTAGTATTATGCTATACAACATTTAACCTCAAAGAAAGCCATCAAAAAGTACATGTATTTGTCTAAATACATTTCAGCATTTGTAGAAAGTATGTCAAAGTGTGTTATGTATATAGCAGAAGCATGGTTAACATGTATACAGAATGAATGAAGAAGATGAATATTTTGGCTCTGTTGTCTATTTAGGGAATAATTGTACATGTATTAATATATTGGTACAGGGTATAAGAATTTGCTCACTTGAGCATTGAATAATAATAATGTTTAATTGGATTTATAAAGCACTTAAGACATTAAAAAAAGACTCTAAAACAGGTATATTTATTGCTATTGCAAAATAATCAGGATATGATTTTTTTTTTTTTTCAAGTTTAAAAGTTATTTTAATAAAGGCATTACCGGTATGTTATATTTACCTCAAGAAAGAAATTAATATACATGTTATGTTACATGACAATCTAAATATATTGGAAGGCAAATATAGGATTGCAGCTGTAACAAGTAGAACTAAATTACTAACTTTTGTGTATGAACTCTGCTTGATATGTTTTGTAGTGACATAGTGACTCTATTCTATCCTATCGTGCATTTCTATCGTGCATGCATGTATTGTGCAAATTGTTATAGTTTATTGTAGGGATTATATTTGTCAATGTGAGACAGATTTAAGTATAGCAGCTTCTTCAGGTTCACCTTTTACAGACCTGATTATATTCCCTCACCAGCAGCTAGCTACAATGTACATACAATCTCTATTTTTCTTTTACAGAGTAACTTTTGCCACTGCAGTCAAAATATTTACGTGTAAAAGAGGCAGCTTTAATTTGGCACATGTACATGGGCATAGGTGTACAATGGATTTAGAGATACATGTAGATGTCTTTTGTTGATGTTACAGTTCTTTTTGTTGTTCATTCATTAACAATATATGTTTTTTTTAAATTCCTGTTAAGAACTATACATTTTCAGGGCGTTCTTAGTCTTTACTGCCGTGTAGTTTACAAAGTATCGGGGTATTGTTCCAGTACATCAGATCACAATATCCAGTTTTGCCATGCACTTTGACAGTGCAATGTACTACATGTTCCTATAGACATTTGGTTAAAAACAATTAGTATATATTTCTACAAATATATAGAGAAAGATAAGAAGTATTTGCATTTGCATCCAGTAGCAATGGAGTATTTATACATTAAAGGTAGTATGTCCCATTTGCAGGCCAAAAAAATGAAAAAGTTAAATTCCAACTGCATTTGAAAGATAATACTAATTTAGAACTTCCCTAAAAAAGGTGGGGCTTGAAAATGTCTTCAAGTGGGAAAATAACGACTTTTAGTTGTCAAATCGACTTTAGGGCTATAGAGCCCAAAAGTAATAGTCTTGATTTTCAGACCATTGTACCGAATGGTCATACGTTTTATGCTGCGCAAAGATTAAATTAGTTTAATCTTGGCCATCACAAGAAGTGGGTTATTGATGTAGACAAATGCTCATGTACCCATTACAACTCTTTTCATGTATGTTATTACCAAAGAAGAAAAAAGCCAGTCAATAAGATGCAGTTGCAATATTTTGCAGATGAAAATGAAAAAAAGCAAGAAAAGTATTTGGGAATTCTTTGTGACCTAAATTTACAGGAAAGTTGTGATTTTCATCTTGTCTGATGTGCTCAACTTGTATATTATGTACGTGTCGTGGAGGCTGAGTGCGATGCGCAATTCAAAGTTCTCTAAAGGCCATGTTATTTATTTAGGCTTGGAGACATTTGTATTAAGCGATATATACAAATTACATATTATTATTTTGTTTTATCTAATCCAGTGTTTAAAGTTACTTGAAATTAGCACATTCCTTGGTTATTATATTATTGACTAATGTATGAAAACAGTCACCTGAAAATACTTCTTTTTTTCCAACTTGTACAGTTCATGTATATTCCATGGGATTTTGTCATTAATACGTTTAATATCACTCACCCCCCCCCCCCTTTGAAATACATTTATATAAACGTATTGCTTTACATATAAGCACAAGTTTTCAGAACCAATTCAAAATGCATTGAAATATATTGCACCCTTGTATCAAAGGGTAATTTGAAATATGTATGTCTGAAATTTTGCCTGTAAATGGATGTTAGCCTCGTATTATAAAAGGTGTCGAACTATTTAGGTATTTGACTGGAAAGAATACAATGTATGTAGGCTGTGAAAGTAATGTAGTTTATTATTACAATAGTCGTACAGTCGTAGGAGGAAGACTCACTAGGACACGACCTGATAACATCAAGCAGTGGACGGGAATGTCATTTGAGCAGCTAACAAGAACAGCTCAAGACAGGAAGTTATGGATAACCCGTGTCTCAAGGTCCATTTCATTGTCGCCCCTAACAACCTTCAAACTATGGGAGAGTTAGATACTTTAGATAGATAGATGGAAAGTCATAGGTTCAGATTTTATTTATTTTGGTGTGTGTAAGTTATGACCGTCTGCCTGTCAAAAGTAATGTTTTGGGAATCAAGACCAGTTAGCAGAATACATTTAAATTTGATAATAATAATGGTAATTTTTTCTGGATTTACGTGTATATAGTGCCTAATACATGTTCATGCTCATCTTCAATATCTCTGAGAATTCTAAAGGATTGTTCAGATTTGGAATGGAGCGGCAAAACTGCAGTGTTTTGTTGACGTAAAGTGTAAACGCATCACTTTTCTGTATCTTAAACACAGCAGAGCTCAGTGGATACGCGCTAGTCTTTTGGTGCGCAGTTGCCATTAATTACAAGTTTAAAAAATAGCATTTTTTTGTGGTGGTTTACTGTACCATATTTGAACAAGCCTTAACAAAGATAGATTTTACTCTTCAAGATCGCTGTGACACTCCGTTTACATTTTGGGTTGATTATTGTACAATGTATAAGAGACAATCATGACCGTGTATGGAACACACCGTGCAGATGTTGCCATCAATTGCTATGTCAGACAACCCTTGAACAACTTTTATGTTTTGTTTTTTTTTAGTTTGTATTCAGTAGTTTTACTATAGGAATTTGCAATATATGCTGAAAAAGGTCATGTACATGAAGTGTATTACATGGGTACATGTTTTTCTATATCTACCAATAATGTGGCTGTTTTAGGTGATATATTATTATATTATTTATTATAATGTTTCGTTATTGTAAGTGTGAAAGTCACCTATTTTTAACTATTATATGAAGAGCATTCTTTACTTGACATTCTAGTAACCAATTAGTGATCCCATATTTCAAACACTCATAATTTTTTTAATTTTTATTATTGGTCCAATTTATTGTCACATTGGCGACACTTTGTATCATAATTATATTTAAGAACTTCCTTGTACGATACAGTGAACATTTACATTGTATCAAATACACACATATCTGCACTCGCAGTGTTCAGTTGTTAAGTACACGGGTACTTATTGCAATTAATATGTTTAATTAAGTCCTTTTTCCATTGTTTTATTTAATGTAGCTACTTGTTTGTAAGTTATTCCTTGTTTTTGCCGATTCTGTTATTCTTTTCAAGGGGTTAGTATGTATTTGGATTAAATTCTTATAAACCGGTATGTATGTTGGTTAACATTAAATTCACTCTAACTTTCTCAAAATCGTGCAGTCCTTGTTTATTGTTGTTGATTTTAGTGCTCTTCAGTATACTTTTTTTAGTATTTTTAGTAATCTTTTTGACCGCTTGAACAAGCATATTGAATAGTTTCATCTAAAGAGTTTTGGGTAACCGGTATGTCTTATAATTTCAATCAAAGTTGATGAAGTTCTTTAAAGATTGTGTTCTGCTTTTTGCAATGAAAATATTTCTAGCACAAAAGTAAGATTCATAGAGGTAAATCGTGTTTTTCTTCAATCATACAGACTTTTCACACTTTAATGCCATACTGCACTAAAAGCTCTACAGCAAAATCCCCTTTAGTGCCATAATAAATGGTCAGCTGTACTAGCAGTATGCTCCCGCAACTCGCTGCTTCTCTAGGGGCGCTGTTGGTTCTCGCATCATGTCCTCTGCGAAGTGGAAATTACGTACTAGGTTACGCACTGTGGGCAAGTCGACCATGAGATGGCACTGTGCAATAAACGGTACGCTAGGGCAAAAAGTTCATCTGCTTACTATCGCTTTAAATAGTCCATATACATGTATTACATAATGAAATTTGGCCCTCTAAAAAAAAGTCACCATCATAAACGCACAAAACCAAAGCACATCTTATATACTTTTTTTTATTCAAAGTATAAAAACAATTCATCACTGTAAACATTTGCTTGGTCTGATACAAGAATTAGAGATAGAAGGAGATACACATGGATAAAAACATAAAAAATATGTTGCTATTAAAGTCACTGTTCTACATGAAATAAGGAATAAAAATACTGATAAATGTTGGCAAGATACATGTACTATATAGCAAGAAAGAAAAAAATATCTTAAAAATATTCATATTTTTGTATAAAGAGACTAAAAACAGAAACAACTGCACGAGGTCCTAAAGCAGACAAGTGTTTTAAAGCAAGAATACACCATTTGTTTGGAAATGCGTATGTGATTCCCCCCCCCCCCCCCACCCTCTCTTTCTTACTTTATCCTCTATTTCTAAAAACATTTTTTCATCTCGTAAGTGGAAGTGGGAAATTAATGCGGTGTATGTGAAATTTTTCTACAGCTTTCTTTTTCGGAGTAAAATCTGTTCAATTTTCCTTTTCAATTGAAACTCTACAAACAGCTATGAAAGGCTACAGTTGATATAACAACAAAGATAGACAATATATATGGCAAACTACAGATACGTTATATATGTACATGTACATCACTTCACTTTTGGCAAGATAAATTCCAGCTGAACAATAAATATGACACAACCAATTTTGCAAGACATACTCTTTTTCATACTATTGAGAATGTTTAATTTCATTGGATTAGTACAGTTCATTGAATGAAATAATGATAATCATTACAATCGGGGAGAAAAGTATCTGAAATGCTTTAAAGATAGTACATTAGTCTATTTATATCAAATAGATCATATTCAAAATGTTTTTAAATTCATAATACAAGTTCAGCTAGCAACATGCTATAACATTCACCTGTTATATATCACTGTTTCTCAATAGTCAGAATGCAAATTGCATTCATTAGCTGTTGCTAGGTCAAACATTCTATGGATTGTCCTGCCCAGTACCAAATGGATGCAATTCGAACTAAATATTGTAATACAGCATACAATTATTCAAATTATTCACAACTAGTAAATGAATAATTTGTAATGGGACACTCAACACACAATAATAAAGACATATGCATTAAATTTGATTACATTACAAAAATGGCATAATCATTTTTCGATACACAATTCAATTTCACTTTTAAAATGGATGGGATTATTATATACACCGGAAATATACGCTGATCAAAGACACAAATGTGAGATACATCAATGTTACGCTAATAAACAGAAATGTAAAGATGATTAAAGCAGCAGAACTTAAATCCACAGTGAATAACAATCTAGATAAATGAACTTATCATAAGAAAAGAAATACAGCATACAAGCAAACAGGGTGGGAAGAAAGACAAAGAGAGGAAGAACAACTATGTATACATACTTGCTGGGTAGTGAACGGTATTCATATCAAGGGTTCAGTGACACCAAGATTCAACTCCATATTTTGCCATCATGAGTATTTGATATCAAAATGTTCAGAAAAATGTGGGCTTTCCAGGAAACACAAAGACTGAACTCCACCCAACACCCCATTGAAGTCAATGGCAAGTGAAACATAGAATTAACTCTTTAAGGCCCAAGTGCTCAGTGACACATAAACCACTTTTTCTCAAAATAGAGTTACGTCTTTGTGTCACTGACCCCTCGATATGATGTACAGTTCAAATAATTACGAACCAAACTATTTCAAAGGCCCATTCAGATATGACAGGGTAAACTGCAATGAATTTTCAACATGCAATTGAATGGCAACTGTGCGCAAGAAGGTTCCTGAACGTAATCATCGACTTGTGTGTTAAGACACTGAAATGTGATGTGTATTACACTAAAGGTAAAGATCAGTTCTGGTCGTGCGATTTCATTGTGAAAGAAACGTTGTGTAATCGATCAGAAAAGGTTGATCATTTAGGATATAAGTATTGGTGTGTACTGCAAGGTTCTGGAATCTTCAAAATGATAAGAAATTTGGCCCAGTCTTGGTAAAGTTACAAGCACTGTACATAAAAAGATGTATACGGGACTATGCCATATCTATCCAGTCCAGATAGATATAATAATTTACTAAATATATCAATTAGTAGGCGGTTTTCCGGCAAACTTTGTATCATCACGTATTAGTCAAAACATTCTTTCACATGATTGGTAATAAGAGCTTCCATTTCATTTTTTGAGAGGGGGGGGGGGGGCGTTTCCAAAACTGGTCTATACCTTTAAGGTACAAAAATGTGACATGTATTACACTTAGACGCTGTGGTTTTTCTGAGTCATATCTGAACAAGGCTTAAGGCTTTCTTCTCATGACTTAAACAAAGAATGAATCAGTCCAAGAGGCTGACTTTGGAATATAAACAATGATCGTAGTCAAGTACTGCAAACTGCTGTAATGTGTATATATCTTTGGTTCTGTAGAAAGTAGAAAAACCTTTCATAGAAACATATTCATAGGAATGTGGACTTCATAGAAATGTAATTTATGATAATACTTGAATACATTTTATAGTACATTTTAAGACAATGAAGAAAAATCATCATTCTTTGAGACTGGTGAATGTTTGAACAAATTCAAACTATTCAGCAGTCAAGGTATAATGCTCATAAGGCTCATTTTTATCGCCCATTCAGCGATGGAGAATTTGTGGTATTTACATAGTATATGGAAATTATGGGTAATACCATGCAAATAGTTTGCCGCAGTGCAGCGCCCTCTATGAAGGTAAATCGGCCATTTTGGTAGGATGAGGTTGAAATGTACTCGAGCCACAAGGGAAAAGATGTCAAACAGTTTCTCATAATATACCACAAAAGATGATCGTGACAAAAAGAGATCCTTGGGGGATTACACCAAGTAGCCTTCTTCGCTACCTACTTGGCTAGGGGCACCAGAGCCCCCTTTGGGTAGCGGAACAAAGTTGCCCAGGCTGCTAGGAACGGGGCTGGGGGCGGTAGGGGGGTGCGAGGCCCCGCCCATGTACTGTGCCTTCTGCTGACGTCGTAGCATGTCGGCGTACTCTCGTTCCTCGTTGTCATCGATTTGGGACTCGGAGAGGCCAGTGCTTGGTGGGTTTTCTGTTGGGTTTGGGATGTTGAGGTAAAAGTATAGTTATGCAGATGACAAGGATAGCTCGAAGATGTAATTACAGATTGATATATCATCTGTTCAGAGCAAAAAGGGCATCAATTCATTGATCATTGTTATTATTATTATTATCATTGTTATTATCATTTTTGTTGTTGTTATTATCATTATCATTGTTATCATCATCATCATCATCACCACCACCACCACCACCACCACCACCACCACCACCATTACCACCACCATCACCACCACCACCACCACCACCACCACCACCACCATCATCATCATCATCAACACCCCCACCACCATCATTGTTATTATAATAAAGTGGGAGATATATCGTGGAGAAATATATTACCGTAAGAATCCCAGCTAGGTGCGTAAGAAGGTGGTCTGTAGGCCGAATTATTATAATACCCAGGCCCCCCTCGACCAGTGACCACACGAGGTGAGACTGGTGGCTGCTGGTCATCATAATGGTCATAACTCTCCGACCGTCCGTCGCTGTAGTCGTCGTAGCGCCGTCTATCATAGCTGACGTTGTCGTAGGAATAACGATCATCGTGCTCGGATCGGTGCGACATGTTGTCGGTGTTGGAGTCGCTGTAAGCTGGGCTCTCCGGGCGTTCCCTTCAATACATGACAGAAGTAGAAATTTAAGTATGCATTTAAAATACAATCAAAGGTGAATATGGAACAGATAACGATAATGACATGAGATATGTATTGCACCAGAGACAATGCATACAGGCATCTTAGCCATGCGTTATCACTTTTAGCAGTGGATTATCACTTTTTGATGGGAAATTTTATGCATGGAAGAGGTGGTAAGAAGAATAACGCACAGTCACGTGATGTCATTCCACCAATTCAAATGCTTGCATTCTACAACCCATTTTATAATATTGTTAAAGGTCAAGACCAGTTTAGGAAACGCCCCCCTCTTAAAAAATGAAAAGCTCTTATTACCAATCATGTGAAAAAAATGTTTTGACCAATACGTGATACAAATTTTGCCACGAAACTGCCTACTAATTGATATATTTGGTAAATTATTATATTTATTTGGACGTGATAGATATCGCGCACGTGTCGCATAGTCCCATATACATCTTTCTGTGTACAGTGCTTGTAACTTTACCAAGACTGGGCCAAATTTCTTATCATTTTTATGATTCCAGAACCTTGCAGTATACACACCAATACTTATATGCTAGATGATCAACCTTTTCTGATCAACTCCACAACATTTCTTTCACAATGCAATCGCACGACCAGAACTGGTCTTTATCTTTAATGTGTTTTAGTGAGAAGGCTGTACCCTTCATAGGAAACATGCACAAATCAACAAACCCTTTGTTGCTCTGCTTGATTCACAACAGATATCGTTCACATTATTCATAGAGTAATACAGAGAAAGGATGTCGCACTAGAATCACTTACATTGGTTTTACTAGCTCAATTTCATCATTTGTTTTCTTGATCGATGAAGATTTTGCTGCAAAGAGAAGAGAAGTGGGAATCTGTTAAATGCAATCAAACACAGTACAATAGAAGTGGTCTAGACTGAATGCAGGGGGAAATCGTAGTGCAACTAATGCCATCATCATGAAAGAATACCTGGTATGTAGAAAGTATGTGCATTACTGTATAGTACAATTTATATCAAATACACTACAGTATCATAAAATAAATGATATTACCCCTGATCCTATAACAGTAGAGTACCAAGTACTAAGTACAACAAGTGCTGGTTTGAGAAACACTCAAAACTAGCACTTCCTATATCAAACCATGTGTAGTATTTCATCTTTAACTTGCAGCCTAGAAGAGACATTAACAAATAACGTATTTTTATTACCGTTTCCGTCATTATTCTTGTCGTAATAAGTATGGCTTGTTATATAGCACTCATATTAGTCATGCTTTGGCGCACTGTGACGACTATGGATATTGCTATATAGTACATGTACATTTGTCTCACCAACATTTATCAGTATTTGTATTCCCACAGATTCTGCTTCCCCTGAATATTGTTTCTTTTTTAAACATGCAGTAAAATAACCTGCACACAAAGACCACTTACATATAAAGACCGCTTTTTTATGTCTCCCTTGAGCGGTCTTTATATACAGCTTTCGCTGTACTTTTGAAGAAAGATACTTACCAGCAACCCTCTTCCTGGACTCCCTTCGTTTGACCAGGCAGCAGCACAGGAAGATATTAATGAAGACACAGCTCAGTATACACAGGAATGAGAAGAGGAGCACCATGTAGAGAGGGATGTTACCAACCAACAACCCTGAGAAGCAAAGACAAAATAAAACGATGAGAAAAATGTAATCAAAGGATTCAAATTTAATTCTGTACAGTATTTAACTTGTGAGCGGCGCCATTTAGATGCACAGGTTGCTTCTTAGGGGTCTTGGGCTATTATGTATTTTGAATTTATGAGTTGTACTTGCTGATTTTCGTTATGATGCCAAAGAAGCCTGAAGGAGGATGAAGACAGCTAAGAACATATACATAAAAGAGAACAGCAGATTGGCCTACCATGCAAATTTACCTAATAACAAAAATGACAGTAAAACACAAACCCCAAAACAAACAAGTCATGAAAAAACAAAAACAAGAATATCTGAGTGGAATATATCTTTATTCCTTTTTTCTATAAAGAAATGTTGAGAGATAAAGATGAAAGCATAAAATAATTGGACAATTTTGCATGTTACAATATCCAGTTCAATTGAAACTTGCAACTATTTTCAACACCTTTAACACTGCAAATAAGTAATATGGATTTACTGACGTGTTGGAATCACCACTGGAGGCTCTGTGGGCTTGACTGAAATGAGAAAGAAGAGAAACCATGTCAATTCAATGAATTTTTTAAAACGACAATGCAGACATCTTTGTCAAAAGCCTCGTTACAAACACTTGTATTTCAATAGTCAGAATGTGAGTTGATAACATTAATTGCTGCTAGGGTGGACAAACATTATAGCTTGTCCAATCAAAGAACACAAAATATATGCAATTCCCATTCTGACTTTTGAAATACAATATTTTGTAACAGGTGAATGTAATAATTTCTAGCGAGGCACTTTACATAGATTTGTGGATTAAATGTGATCACATTAAAAAAATGGCCCATTCCATTATGTATTAAAACATTTGTTAAATACATTTACTAATAAACAAGCAATTCTATACATAGATACATTTTAGATGACACAAACATAGAAATGATGACCCAACTAAATTGGGTGCATCTGTAAAACAACGAGGTTTTCTCAAGACAGCTTCCCTGTACACAAGTTTGTTGTTGTTGAAATGGTTGAACTTTTAAAGCCTGAATCAAACTCACTGGTTGTCTTGGCAGACACGATGCCGAGATAATACGGCCCGTCTCCCTGCGCATTGCGCCCTCTGACGGTGAACTCGTACTCTGAGTTGGGGTTGAGGTTGGTCACTGTGAATGCCGTCGCAACGGAAGGTACCACGTCCACATACTGATACTGCTTCCCGCCTTTCTGGTTGAAGCGCACCTGGAAAGTCTGGTCCAAACCGCCATCGAAACCTGGCAGGATGAATCAGAGGGATGGACCAAGAAATAGAATAGTGAGTAAGGCAGCTTAGCAAAATGCAGTGGCTTGAAAAGACACACTTGGGCCCGTCTTATAAAGAGTTGATATCAATCACAACTTATTTGCCATTGATATCAATTTCAACTATGTACATAAGAGATAGGAGACTGCAAACTTGAGATTGATTGGAGGACTTGCGATTGATTTGGATCGATCACAACTCTTTGTAAGACGGGGCCCTGGACAGCAAAATGCATAATAGTTAGTGATGTTTGTTAATTAATAGTTCCTATTTGACATAAATCTGTTTATTAGGGGAGGGGGTCTTACCTTTGGTCCAATTGAGAGTAACTGAATCATAACCAATATTGACGACTTGAAGATTAGATGGGGCCTCCGGAGGACCTGCGCAATGAGAAGAGTGAGAGATATGTAATGAGGGACAGAAAAAGAAGTGGGAGACTAATGGAGAGAGAAAATAATAATAATAACAATAATGGTGGCTTCTTATAGAGCGCTTAGGTCCTTTAAGCATGACCCTCATGGCACTAGAAAGAAAGAGTGACAGAGAAAAATATAGAAAAATAGAGATATGGATAGATCGATAGGAAAAGACATATTATATAAGCTGATATTTTTGCATACAGGTTTTAGAAGAAATGACTGGGACATCATTTTTTGTTGTTGCAAGTTGTTGTTTTCACAAGTAATACAGGCTGTACCTTTAACACATATTCACACATGGAATGTCTGTTCATTTTTGCGATTAGCGTTATATCTATATTATGTGGTGTCACCTGTGCCTGAGAGTGGGGAAAAACAACTGAATCACTGTGACACTCGGGTCTCTCATTCCAACAGTATGCTAAATTCATGAATTTCATGAAACTAAAACCCTCAGAAAAATAATGTCTACAGTACTTACTTGTCTTCTCAAGCTGTATCTCAAAGCGTGCTTCTCCTAGGTCATTATAAGCCTTGCAGACGTACGTCCCGTAATCATCGATCTCGTCAATCTGGCTGATGATCAGCCGACTCTCATAGCGGTTAGCATAGGTCAAATCCTGTCTGATGTCCAGCGTGTAATGGTCACTAGTTAGATTGACCTCCGCTGATCCCTTGAACCAGTTGAATTGGACGAGAGGTGCGCCCTCTGCCTTGCAGCGGAGGAGGGCTGTCTGACCTGTGCTCTTGGCTACTTTGTTGGGCATGGAGTGGTCCACTTCAGGGGGGTCTGTAAATAGGAACGGGAACATCGTTATAGAGATTTAAATGCTTTCAGTTTGGTATATTTCATGCAGCAACATGAAAAGCAATATAACAAAAATTGATAAAAATTACCCCCCCCCCCTTTTTTTTCCTTAGATAACATCTAGGACACCCTTTTTTCTTCCTAACCTCAAGCTTTCATGACTTTTAAGCCTTAAGTCAACCACATTTTTTACACCAAATTCTAAAAACTTTGCACTTCATGCATAAATATTGCAATCTTCCTATACTAATACACACAAAGCCTAACCACATGAACAATAAATGAGACATTTTATTTCATAACTTCTGAAAGTTCGTACTGGTGCTGAAAGGGTTGTCATGGAGCTAATCAATGACCGGAAATGGTAATACTTCCCTCAATCGTTTTGTGCAAAAATGCATGTGAGGCAAACAAGCTACAATGCAGAGAGGCAAAAAAAGGCAACCAAAGTGTTAATGATCCATTCTTTAAATCTTATAGAATTTGATTACTTACACTGTATGATAACTTGTATATTCTTGGTGTCGGCCGGCGGGATGCCGTTGTCCGCATGGCAGAGGTACATTCCGCTGACCGCTTTGGTGACGTTGTCCACCCTCATGATGCCACGCCCATCCACATACTCATGGGCGTTACCCGTCAGGTCAAAGCCGGGCCTGGTCCAGGTGATGTAGCCGGCTGGCTTGGGGTTTGCGTCCGCTTCGCAGACCAGCTCCCCGGGGGTGTTGAGGGTGATGGTGATGGCCTCACCGGTGGTCACTTTGGCAGAGTCTGTGGTGACAGAAAAGTCAAAAAAAAAACATAATAATAATATATAATACTCAGTTTTTATATAGCGCTTATTACAATCACTAAGCACTTCCAAACTTGGAGATTATTACCCCGGCTTTAGCTGTGCTGCCATTGCGGCGCTCTAGAATTTCAAAGAATTAATTCCTGCCAGGTACCCATTTACATCACCTGGGTTGAGTGTGGCAAATGTAGATCAATGTCTTGCCAAAGGACATTAGACAATGATAATGAAAAATAATAATTATAACAATAATAATAATAATAGTAACCTAGGCTTCTATAGCGCATTACATCTTCAGAGAAAATATCAATGCGCTTTACAATAATAAAACAACACAATTACACAACTACTAATTCTAGAACTAAAGAAATATCAAAATAAGAATGAGATTAATCGCTATACGCATCGACATCTTTTACAGAGAAATGAAAGAAAATTATGACAAAGTAAACTGCAAGTTTCAATAATGCAGTTTAAATGACATCAGAAAGCATTTTTGAACAAGTAAGAGTTCAGTAGTAATTTAAAGGTAGTTAAAGGGGCTGTAGCATGCATGACTATGCGTCTTTCCCCGAGGCCTACTCGAGGAAAATTGTGTATAATATGACTACGGACGACGCGACCGCAGTAGGCCTACGCATTCAAATGTGTGCAACATATGTGAAACTGAACAGTGAGGAGAATTTCAGTCTTGTTTCACGAACGCTAGCACGTTGACCCAGTTAATTAAGTCCATTTGTCAAAAAAAAGACGAAGATGGCGTCAACCAGTATTTCCCATGCTACAGCCCTTTTAAAACTGGGATGATTCGGATGGTACCGGGAACAATTTTCTTTCAACTTACACATCACATCTAGGGTCAGCGTTATATTGTTGGCTCCCTCCGAGTTACTCGCGATGCACATGTACGTCCCAGCCTCCTCCCGCGACACGTTGTGGATGCACAACGATCCTTCCTCGTCCAGCGTGTAACGCTCTGTCTCGGCGACAGCAATCGCGGCTGCATTCTTGTGCCACGTGAAAGTGATTTCGGCGGGGTTGGCTTCAGCAGAGCAGTTGAGGATTAGGTCTCCAGGTACTTCATGACTACTCAGAGAGATGCCGGTAGGCGTGGTTATCTTTGGTCTGACTGCACAGGGTCGGAATGAGATTGGAGACAGATTAATTTTGGATTTCAAAACAATTCACAGCATTTCATATCAATTCACAGCATTTCAAAACTATTCACAGCATTTCAAAAGTATTCACAGCATTTCAAAAGTATTCACAGCATTCAAAACATTTCACAGCATTTCAGAACAATTCACAGCATTTCATAGCTATTCACAGCATTTTAATACTATTCACAGCATTTCAAAACTATTCATAGCATTTCAAAACAATTCCAGCATTTCAAAATTATTCACAGCATTTCAAAAGTATTCACAGCATTTCAAAAGTATTCACAGCCGCATTCAAAACATTTCACAGCATTTCAAAACTATTCACAGCATTTCAAAACTATTCGCAGCATTTCAAAACTATTCACAACATTTCAACACTATTCACAGCATTCCAACACATTTCAAAACAGTTGCCTCAACAATGTTGACCTTGAGGTTGTTCTTGTGGAATTTTAAAGGGATATCTGAAGTCTTTGGCTATGCAGAACAGGTCATTGGCTCGGGAAATTACTGTCAGGATTGTATTTCAATAAATCATTTGAATTTGAATTTGATTTTTTTTTTTCTTTTGGGGGGGGGGGGGGGGGGGGTTATAAAGCTATTTGTCTGAAAGTCTACTCACATTTGATATCCAGAGTCACACCATCATTGACGCTTTCAACAACAAGATCGCTCATTGCACGGCAGAGGTAAACGCCCCCATTGTTGGCCGAGGTAACAGAATCAAGCATGAGACGACTGCGGGTCGTTTTGCCCCCATTTTCTGCATCTACAACCTCAACGCTTATGTTGTTATTGCCTAGAAAGAAAAGGGAAAAAGTCATATGATAATAAATATATTCTGGATTTTAATAGTGGGTAATTATCATCAACCATGTGGTGTCCCATCTCTTAAGGTGGGAACAAACTGAATCACTGTGACACTCTGGTCTCTCCTTCCAACATAACTGCATGTGAACCACTATACCAGGGCTCCCACTAATACTCTCATTCGAATAGTGCAGTAGGTTCTATAACAAAAGCATCACTCTTATAGTGCATTCACCTTCAACAGTCACTCCATCTTCACATTGTGGGATTTCAGTATTTAGGTTACTACTGGCTGCCTCTCACCCCCTCCCTTTAGCATCCCCCCCCCCCCCCCCTCCCTCACAAATCCCCACCATCTCCACACCCACTCCCAATAACAATGCACAGTACAGTAATGATACGTGCACTACGAGACCAGCACCAGACCGAAAATAGAACAAATACGAAGTTCCATCATCCCAACTAGCCAAGAATCAGTTGGTTTGGTGTCAGTTAGGTCTCAGCTTGGTGTTGGTATGGTGTCAGTCAGGTCTCAGCTTGGTGTCATTATAGTGTCAGTTTGGTGCCAGTTAGGTCTCAGCTTGGTGTCGGTATGGTGTCAGTTCGGTGTCATTTTGGAGTCAGTTTGGTGTCAGTTTGGTGTCATTTTGGAGTCAGCTTGGTGTCAGTTTGATGTCAATTAGGTCTCAGCTTGCAGTCGGTTTGGCAGTGTGACTGAGTGAGGTATTTATGACTTACCTTCTATAGGCACCCCATCCCTCCACCAGGAGATCTCAGACTCTGGATTGCTGCTTGCCGTCTCACACGTCACCGTTACGCTGTCACCCTCCTTGGCTTCTGGTGGGTCTACACTCACAGTAACTGCACTGGGTGGGACTGAGCAGAAGAAAAAAAAAAAAAACCATCCATAAATAGTTGGAGTGTTTCTGTTTTTACCAACAGGACTTTGAAAAAAGGAAAAATCGAGTCGTTGTGTGTCTGGCAGATGAATGTACGATTGAATTTCGTTTAAAAAGACAAATTGTCTGTATCCATATACTTGCATCATAACAAACATACACCTGACGTTCATACAAATAAAAACAATAAAAAAAGATACACCAGACAGTGAAATTAACAAGGAAATGGTATTTGTTGAGGGTCCATAACTCACACAAAGCTGCAGCGAAATTCAGTGTCCCATCAAGAACTTGCTGTAGGAGATTCTGAAAACTTCTGTTACCTTTCAGGTTCAGAGTTTAGGATGATGGCTAAAGGGGCAATTCTTCTGAAGGAGATGCCCCCATTTACATGTTTAGAAGTTTATACGTTTACAAGTTTTTAAGTTCATGAGTTGTATAACTTGATAAGGTTCTAAGGATCTCAGTTTTCAAAGTTTGGAAGTTTGGATAGGAAGTTTATAAAGCAAGGCCGCTGGCATTGTGGCGTGTGCCTGTAATAATAACAATGAAGTTACAAACTGATTCAGCCAAGAACGCAGGTTCGAAAATGAGTCACGTTTTTCAGATGGTGACGTTTAAAGGGCGGTCCCCAGACGTAAATAATCATATCTATTTGCTACACGTCTGTAAAAATCCACAACACACACACACACAGTGTTTCGATCTCAAACTTACAGAGGACGTTAAGGGTGACACTGGCCTCCAGGGGGACGGGCGTGGCCTCGTTGGAAGCATTACAGGAGTACTCCGCCCCGTTATCCGTCTGGTCCAAGATAAGCCTCAAGGTACTGGTGGAGAGGATGCCTTGCGTCCCGGTCTCCGCTTCCTGGACCTCTCCGTTCTTGTACCAGACCAGCGTGGCGAGGGGGTTGCCGCCCATTGCAAAGCATACAAGACGCAGGAGATTGTCGGCCTTGACTTCCGTGCCGTCCTCGTAACCGGTGATTCCAGGATGCTCTGGTGGATCTTTCAGGAGGAAAAGAAGAAAGAATGTGTTTTTATTTATTTCAAACTTTCTGAATGATTAATTGAGGGAGGCATGATGAGTGTTGCTTAAATAGGGGATTGCCAGCCATAGAAAAGCTGTTCAAAAGAAATTATCAGCCATGACCTCCTAGATGACCTTGTGCAGTGTGATTCTGGGACTCTCTTTGTAGAGAAAGAGTAAGAAACAGGATGGGTATGATTGACTTCAAGTCGATTAGAAGGTCACAGAAAAAAAAAGATTGCACAAAACATACTCAAGTGACAACTCCTCCCCCAAGGCAACTTCAAACACATTTTATATTAGGAACTTTAGCCCTGACTTGGAAGTGGATTTAAAGGGGGGAGTGGCACAACTGGCTCATTCCCTCTTCTAATAACATAAATATTTCACATCAAATAAACACAATAAGAAAATTTGACCCAGTCCCATCCCCAATTGTGTTTATGAACCCCTTGTTACAAAATCCTGGACCCAAGGTCCTTCACTACTTGATTTAAAAGCTGAATCCAAAATCTAACCCTAAAACGGTACTTAAAGAGAGAGGGTCGTCAGATTCCATGTGCAGTAGGCCATAATTCTGACACCAGACTTGGTGGAAATACCATTACTGTGTGTACAAATATACACACAACAGGCCTTTCAAGAAATACCCCCTCGCCTCTTAAAGAGTGTTCGGGTGAGGGGAAAAAGTAAGTGAATGACTTTCCACATGTGGGAATGGATGGAAAATGCTTGGCATTGCATAAGGCCTGTCGGTCATAAAACTAAAGGCTAATCCTGGTGCTTGACAACACCTCTTATTAACACCCGAACATTGTCGAATTCCACATTAGAGCCCATTCTTTGCGTCTTGTTTAACAATGTTAAATCTGAGATGCATGGCCCTACGTGTTATCAGTGTCTCTGATATGGTGTAATATTGAAACCCTAAAAAAATTGCGCTTCAAAATGATCATAAAGTGCCTCAGAAAGTGACCAGTTTTTACCATAATCATTTTCCCCAATAGACTGTAGTGTTATAACAAACTTTGGGAAAACGGTTTTTGAAATTTTGAATTCCAAACATAAGTATCTTGATAATCAGACAGGCGATCAGCTTGTAAACATCATGGGATTCCTGACTGACCTAAATGTTTTTAATTATGATTGCAGCATGAGTTTTGTTTCAGAATCTGAGACAAAGTAACCCTTTAACTCTTACACATGACGTTGACAGTCACAGTATCCGAAGTGGTCTCGTACAGCTCCCGATTGGTTGCTTGGCACATGTAATCTACGCTGTCTGTATCGGCCGTCATCGTGATGGTCAGCTCCTGCGAAGTGATGAAACCTCCGTTGGGTGCTTCGACCACCACGTCGTCGTGGGTGTGGGCCTGACGACCACCGGTGAACCAGGAGATCGAAGACGCAGGGTTGCTGTTGGCTAGGAAGTTTGGAGAAGAAGAGAAGGGAGGAAAGTTAAGGTAAATCATCATGATAGCTGTAGCACAGTGAAACTTGTATATAAAATGTGATGTTACATTTTCTCTAGATCCTATTGCTTTTGGCTTTTATTTGTTGCAATTGGGTAATACACTAGAATTAGGGTCAAGGTCAGAGTTGAGATGCTTTTCTGTCCAGGTATGGAGTTAGAAACTGATGTCAGAGCATATTTCATACGTTCAAATAAAAACCACTTATGGGAGGCAATAGAGGTGGTCATTCTAGCCCTTCTAGGAAGGTTATGTTTATAACTAGGTTCCTTTTACGTATATTTAAATGAGAAACAGTAGATAGAAAAGGGTTGTGTTTCTGTTGGCTGGGAAAGTTTAAAATTGCAAACAATTTCAAACTGTGACATGGAGAAATTCAGATAATGTTAGAGTATGTTTGCATCAAAAAATATTTCATGAAGTCAAGATTCATTAGTAATTTAATTCCTTACCTGATGTGCATTTGAGTGTGAGCGTGGCATCTGACTGAACCATTGCCTCATGGCCGGTGATATTCACGTATGCTGGAGCAACTGCAAACAATGCAAACAAAAATTAAGACAATAAAGAACAACAAATATATACATACATAAATATACAGGTAATAATGCTAATAAGAAAGAAGAAGAAGAAGAAGAAGAATTAATGACAAAAAAGAAGAAAAAGAATTCATTCGGATGAGGTAAAGTGTAAGGTAATGACTTGACCACATGGGGGTGGGGGGTCGGTAGAAAATGCAGAGCATTACATAAGGCCTGTTGGTCACAAAACTGATGGCTTATCCTGGTGATGGACAACACCTATTATCGGGTAAACACAGGAATCGTGTTGAATTCCTCAAAAGAAGCCCACTGCTATGCATCTTTAATTATTATCCAATCCAATCCAATCCAGGAATTTATAAAGCGCCAATATCTAGTTGCCTAATCAAAGGTGCTGATGAGACTGTAGAACTACAAAAAGTGTATGTTTATGATTTTAACTGGGAAAGAAAAAAAGCAGCAGTGACTAATAAAGCAATCTGAAATAAATATGTCTTCAGTTGAGTTCTGAAAGTGGATAACTGGTGGCAAGAGTGAAGGATTTGGGGCAGGGCGCGACAAACCCGCTTGCCCGACGTCCCGGGGCAACCAAATTGAGCCGTCGGGCAAGTAAATCAAATTATCACTTGCCCGATTCGGGCAAGTGATACTTTTACAGTAATTTCCTAGTGTCCAAGAACTCTACCATTCACCCGTCAACTTCTTACCCGTCGTCAAAATCCAGAAGCAAAAAAGCGATCGTTCCGATTTCGAAAAAACTTCACAGACAGCTAGCCAGCTCAGCTAGCTCAGCGCGCATGCAACAGTGACACTTCAAGCCATGAATGCCGCTCCGCCTCCACGCACGGCCGGCCGTGAGCTAGCTAGAGACAGCTAGCGCGATCGTACCAGCTGCGAGCTTATTCGCGCTCTCTCTCTCTAGCTCTGCAGGCCGCACCGACAGGCCTTTGCTATTCTCTGATTGCCGATTGGTTGAATCACGCCAAATATGACGTCATTATTCTAGGGAAATGAACACGTGCGAATCGGAATGGAATAAACAACAGGGATTTTCTAGTAAGTACAAAAAGTCAAATGTTTGATATTTATTCATAATGACTGTTAATGATTGTGAACATATTATTTAAAACTCGCTGCTCATATAAATCAGATGAATGTTTTTGTCTCGTTTTCAATTTATTACTGCGGTCTCAAGATCCGACCGAGCGAGTCATTTTGATAATAGTATCGAGACCCCCAGAATATAAGCCGTTGTTGTTTTGTTTTCATGGTTTTAGCGACGTTGTTTAGTCTAGTTTTCGCATACTTATCCGAGATTTATCGTAAAATATCTTCAATATTATTATTTAGTAAGAATTTACAAATTTTGGCATGATATTTATAGCAGTGAATGATGAAATAAAAATGTCCGTACTTTATTTAAAATAGTTGATTACCCATTATTTACATGACGTTTCTTGATGGAAGAGTTGACCCAAATTATTAACAGCTGAAAATTAGCCTACGTTTCCAAATGACAGCGGCTTGCACAGACACACACGTGCGTTGATCAGCTGTTTTTTCTCGAACCTGCTTGAACCATTCTACCTTGCCGAGATTCATGTGAATCTGATTATTTATGGAGAATCAATAAAATGCGTTTTTTAAACCTTCAACCATCCTTTGTTGACCATTTTCTTTGACATATTAGGTTATTATTCAGTACAGTTACACTGTACATGTATGTGCATTAATTTGCTATCTAAAACACTAACTTATCATTACGAGATAATAAATGCTTTAACCTCGAGTCCTTTTTCGCTTTAAAGTTTTGGGCAAGTGGAAATATTGTTTGGGCAAGTAAATTGAAAACCCACTTGCCCGACAGGGCAAGTGGTGAAAAAAATTCTTGTAGCACCCTGTGGGGAAGACCATTCCGCAATCTCATTATTTTCATTATAATAGTAATTATTGTCATCATCATCATCATCATCATCATTGCTAAATGTAATGCTTACAGTTGACAGTGAGTTGTATCTGTGTGCTCATCGGTTGAGGTAGGACCACGCTGGTAGCAACACACTTGTAGATAGCGTTATTATCACTGTAATCAACTTCAAGTGGGAGAGTGTTGAAAGCACTAACACCGTCTGTCATGAAGGAGTAATCCATTCTCTCATCGTTCTTATACCAGTATACCTAGATAGACAGAAGGACAGATATTAAGAGAAGGAAGAAAGAAAAGAATGCAGGGAAAGAAAGAAAGATAGAAAGGAGATGAGAAAAGAGAAATTATTATTGAAGTCAAACTTTATGCGGTAGAGTGTTAAAAGCACCAACACAGTCTGTCGTAAAGGAACATTTCATTTCCTCATCATTGTTATACTAGTATATCTTGATAGACAGAATGAATGAATGAAAAAATTGACAGGAAATAGATAAAAAAAATGTGAATATATCAGTAATACATATCGTTACAGAAATTGTTTAGTAGAATGTGCCACAGGAAATACAACATATGGTGATTTGTATGCCATATTTGAATATACATGAACAGTGTATTTGTACCAACATTTCACTGTTGAGCTATTCATAGTGATATATTTGAACTGGATAAAATAAATTTAAATGCATTTTCCAGTTTGCCATGATGGCAATGAGTGAAAAGCTTTCTCAGGGTTTGTTTTTACCTCTGCCAGGGGGTTCCCTCCGAGAGATGTACAGCGGAGGTGCAGCGGGTCCCCCGTTTTCACAATGGTACCTGCCGAATAGCCAGTGATGAGGGGCGCTCCTGGGGCAACTGTTTGAGCGTGGTCAAAGAAGACACAGAGGCGTGTGACAAAATAGAGAAATAGAGAGAGGGAGAGAGAGAAAGATGACAGAGACATGGACAAGAGGAAGAGAGGGAGAAGAAAGAGAGAGAGAGAGAGAGAGAGAAAGAGAGGAGAGTCAGAAAAGAGGGGAAAAGAAAAGAAGGAGAATCAGAGAGAGACAGAGAGAAGACAGGGACAGGGAAAAAGCAGGAGAGGAGGGAAAAGAAAGAGAGAGAGAGAGAGGAAGAGAGAGAGAGAGAGAGAGGAAGAGAAAGAGAGAGAGAGAGGAAGAGAGAGACAGAGAGAAGTTAAGAGAAAGAATGAGAGTCAGAAATGGAGAGACATAGAAAGTGAGAGAAGGGTGGGAAACGAACATGTATTACAATAAAAGAGAACAGGGTTCCATTAAGTTTTAGATGCAGTCATTAAAGATGAGTAGCTCAATGACAAACGTCTTTTTACAATGATTATAACTAGTTCTTTCACTTGATATCACAACAGCTTATGGAGTTCCATAAAAACACAAATGTTTCATCACTTTCATGACACTATTTTCTGTGGTACCTATCTTAAAATAAATCAGAAAAAAAAATCGGGAAACCGACTTAAATCCTGTAATTATCAGGCCTGCATGACTCACATAATATCATAGGATTTCGTTAAGGTGTCTTCTTATATTGCATCTTGTCTGCATATACATAATTTTCATCCCCCCCCCCACCCCCATCTCAGAAGAAAAGCTGATTGTACTTACAGAGGACGTTGAGAGTGATGTACGTTGAGAGAGCGGATGACAGAGCTCCATGAGTCACCTGACATCCGAAGGTAATACCGTTATCCTCTTTCTCTGGGTTCAGGGTTAGGGTGCTGACTGCGTTCACTCTCTTACCTAATCAAGAATAATAATAAGTATAATAATAATAACAACAATACTGTTAATGATAACATCTTTATACTTTATAATATTATTATTATTATATTTGTATTTAATTGTATATTAATGGGCCCCATTTACAAGCTTTGCTTCTCAGGGATCCATAGCCTGTCATCATGTTATAATTGTACCAGTACCAGTGTGATTTTAAATTGTTTTTAATGATTGGCTGAATAAATGGAATTGAATTGAAATACAAAATTTGAAGGTCCAACAAGAAATGTGGTCTGCAGAGTGCACCCACACCATCCTGCAAAATATGACATTTTACCCTATAACACATTGGACACTGGTGGCAGCATCACCAAAATCTATAGGCTTGTAGATTATACCAACATACGCCTTCGTTGAAAATTTTAAACAAAATCCCTTGAGAAATGTGGCCTATAGAGTGCACACAAACCATCCACAAAAATATAGCCTTTTACCCTATAGAAGAAGGAACACTGGGGGCAGCATCACCAAAAATGATATGTACAAAATTTGAAGAAATCCGTCAAGGAATGTGGCGAACTAGAATATGACGCGATGGCGGTGGCGGCGCGACGCTGCTGAATCGAAAGTACCCCTCTGTCATCCTGCCGAGGGATACAATAAAATGCCTTGCTCAAGGTCATACATGTGAGTGCTGTGCCAGGGCTTGAACCCAGGACCTTGGCATCTCTGGTCAAGTTAATCATCCATGTAAGGGTGCTGCCTGAATTCACTCCTGACCTAATCAAGAATAAATAGAATCCTGCTGTATACATTAATTATGTCCAGACTCTTTGGGCATGCTGGTAACTCTCTTGGCGTGGATGGCAAACAGTTTAGTGTCCTCAGTTGTCTTTTAAAGTACTAATAAAGAACAGAAGAAAATGTGTCTCCAGATGTGCCACAAAAAAATTAATAAATAGTTCTATACAGAAATAAATAATTGTACTAATGCTTAAATTAAACAACAGTAACAGGTGTCATTCTGGAGCCAGTTGCACAAAACCGTCACAAGTTAAGTTCGTAGATATCCCATAGATACGCGTTTTAATTCTATAATACATGTTTCAATGGGATGTCCATGAAGTTAGACTTATGACGGTTTCAAGGAACGGCTCCTTGGTAGCCCAAGTCTACTGTACTGACCAGAGGTATCTCCTGCAGGTGTTGAGACCACCTCAGGGTTCCCATACGCCAGATCATCTCCATCCTTGTGCCATGTGATGACCGGTGCTGGCTTGCCACTGTTGGCTCTGCAGGGGAGAGTGACCGTTGCAGGGGGCTGGATGGTGATGACTGAGCCGTTGGAGTAGCCATCGATGACCGGAGGGTCAGGGGGTACTGTCAAAAAAGAAAATCATGAACAGAGACAAATGAATAATATTCTATTCACACAAGAGGAAAGAAAGAATAAGTTGGTTTTATTTTTTTTCTCAACAAGGTAATTAATTTGTATTATTCGCAAATGAGGCAAGAAAGATTTACTTTAAAAACAAAATGTGGCCCCAAAAGATTAGATGAGTGTAGTGTACAAATAAATATGTCATCTTATAACAGATCGTATGAAGGAGCCATTCATGTAGGTGGCTACTTTTTACTCCCATATTTGCCATTTATTTATACATACTGGATTTTATTTGACCTACTTGTTTTTTTTTTTTTTTTTTTTATCTTTGATTGTTTTTTAAATCACACCATCATCATGTCTGAACAAAAGATAATACATGTAGATGATGCCAAATTATGAGTTTCTGTATTTTAAAAGTCGAAAAAAAGAAAGGGTGTTCTTACAGAGCACAATAACAGCAGCAGGATCTGATCGTAGATTCTGATGTGTAGCGTCGGTAGCTGTCACATGACATCGATATTCAGCATCGTCACTGAGCTCAGCTCTCAGGATTACTAGATTACCTTCTCTTGCAACATCACCTGGTGAGAAAGAAATATAATGAAAAAACAAAAATTATTCATGAATAATAATCATGATCATGATGGTGGTGATCGTGGTGAAGTTGGTGGTAGTAGTGATGTTATGGTAGTAGTGATGTTATGGTGGTACCATGGAAGTGGTGGAGGTGGTGTGGTGGTATTGGTGTTGGTGGTGATGGTGATAGTGATGGTGTTGATGGTGATGGTTTTGATGGTGATAGTGGGGTGTAGGTGATGGTGGTGGTGTTGATGGTGTTGATGGTGATGGTGTTGATGGTGTTGATGGTGATGGTGGTGGTGGTGATGGGTGATGGTGGGGTGTAGGTGATGGTGGTGGTGTTGATGGTGTTGATGGTGGTGGTGTTGATGGTGTTGATGGTGGTGGTGATGGGTGATGGTGGGGTGTAGGTGATGGTGGTGGTGTTGATGGTGTTGATGGTGTTGATGGTGATGGTGTTGATGGTGGTGGTATTGACAGTGATGGTGATGGTATTGATAGTGATGGTGGTGGTGGTGGTGGTGGTGATTTTTATGTTGGATATGAAGAATCAATGTATAGTGAAAGGTGGGGTACAGACTGGATAACAATATCATACAAAGAAACTAGTTTTGAAGAGGCCAGTTGACATGACATGATATACAATGTACAACAACTTTCTTGATTCTTTATCAAGATTTTGTTTGAAAAATGCTCACATATGCATTTCATTCTACAACGTTTCATCATGCAATGTTCAGACTATACGGAGGCGCGATAGCTCAGTCGGTAGAGCAGTGGTCTCGTAATCCGGTGACCCGGGTTCTAAACCAAGGCGATGCGCCAGTGCCCTTTGGTAAGGCATTAATCTTCATTACCAGTACCAGGTCCCTCGGAGAGGACCTAAAGCCGTCGGCCATCTGGTTGCTTACTTACAAGCATTTATGCTTTCTTAGCAGTCAGGTAAAGTAACAACAACCACCACCACCACCACCACGATTCTTGTATGGCGATTCTGAACACAGGGCTAGTGTGAACAGACTACATGTAGAACATGGCGTTGTACTTTCGAAAGTAGAGCATACATCTGATAGTTCTCCTAGATTGCTATCTCAAGTATATAACTAAACACCCACAATTGTTTTGTTAACAGATTAAAGACAAAACAATCTATCAAAACATATTTTGATAACAAGACTATTTTTTTTAAATGTACTGCTAAAGATCAAATTCAAGAATGCAATTACAAAGATGGCTTCCTACTCTACTGATTCTATGAACTGTACTCTCAATGGGGAATAAAAATGGGAACAATATACTACAAATAATAATAATACTCAGTTTTTATATAGCGCTTCCAAACTTGGAGATTGTTACCCCGGCTTTAGCTGTGCTGCCAATACTACTACTACTACTCCTACTCCCACCAATAATAATAATAATAATAGTAGTAATAATAATAATATCAATAAGAAGAATTGAATAATACTAGTTGAAATTGTAAAAAATTCATATTTTCTGTGCTATTTTGTTTTACTAGTTTCAAGCTATTTGTTTTGACTAGGATTATTTCCTTGTGTCTAAAACTCTTCATCTATGGATGAAAATCTTCCGCACAATAAGAGTCTGGAACCAACACTAGTCAGTGTTTCCTTGACATGCCATTAGGATTAGACGCAAGGCTAGGAGGTCAGAGGTCGCACAGTTCAGTAGAAGTTCAATTCCCATTAAATCACTTAAAAGTCATCTAGCCTTGCTAAGCCTTGCCTATAAAAAAAAAGTTAATAATTTGTCAACCATGATTTATCTGCATGAGTTGTTTCTATCTGACTTCTACACAAACATACATGTTAATGACTAGATACTTTTGAACAGTTTTCTTCATTTCTATCTATTAACTTTTTAATGTTTGGTTATACATGTAGTTTACTACATTTTTACTCTCTATACACTATCCATGACTCTGTCAGAGACACTGTGAGGAGAGAGAAAATATGACAAATAGCCTGATGAAGACAATCATAATTTATCTCATGTTTTTCTTTTAGTTTTAGTATAGTTGAGTTTTTGCTTTTGTTTTTTCCTCTTTTAAAAGCTTTTTTTTTGGGGGGGGGGGGGGGCTTAAGCTTGTCTGTATGTTTTCTCTTTCTTTTGTTTTGATTGTTGGGAATATGTACACCGTATATCATATATATCATGCATTGACATTTGACAATTTATAAAAATGTAAGCTATACACCTACAGTGTATATAGCTGATATATGCACATTTACAGTTTGACATTATATAGCAGTGATTATATTAGATATATGGCAGAAATATAATAACAGATAATATATAGAAATATTACATGTGGCTTGTAGTCTCTATCAGTGAGAACGTAAAAATCATATTTCCAATAGGTCTTTAAAAACCTCCAATCTATGCTTGTTTTGATGACCTCTGATATTATTTTGAAGCAGGGCGCAGGTGAGTGAAGAGAGATTTAAATTCTGTTTCTCTTTGGGTTTCGGGTGAGCCGAATTTGGAGAACAAATCTGAGGTAGATCGGTTTTCATATTTGTGGTGATGGATACAGTGGAATCTGTGGGAGAATGAGATCGCAGAGAGAGGAGGAGAGAAGAGGAGGGAGAGGGGGGGGGGGGGGGGGAGAGAGAGAGACACACACACACACACACACACATGCACACATGAGAGAAAGGCAGTCAGACTGAGTATATGTGCATAAGAGGAAGAGAGGGGGTGAGAAGGGAAGAAAGAAAAGAGAGAAGAGAGAGAGATAGAGAGAGAGAGAAAAAAGAAAGAGAAAGTAGAGAGAAAGAGAGAGAGAGAGGCAGTGGGGAGATGAGAAAGAATTGGCAAGACAAATATGGTGTGGACAGGAGGAGCAAAAAGTTGCACAAAATGAACTATAATTCAGATCTACATTTTTACATGATTAATCACTCATTCGAGTCAATTTGGGTCAATTACAACTATATTTGTTTTTGGGGGAGGGGGTTCGTCTTTAATACCTTTAAAGGTAAAGACCAGTTAAGGTCATGCGATTGCATTGTGAAAGAAACGTTGTGGAATCGATCAGAAAAGGTTGATCATCTAGCATCTAGCATCTGCAAGGTTCTGGAATCATCAAAATGATAAGAAATTTGGCCCATTCTTCGTAAAGTTACAAGCACTATACACAGAAAGATGTATGTGGGACTACCCTATATCTCTCACAGACCATGAGAGAAACAAATTTACCAAATATATGAATTAGTAGGCGGTTTCCCAGCAAATTTTTTATCATCATGTATTAGTCAAAACATATTCTTTCACATGATTGGTAATGAGAGCTTCCATTTCATTTTTTGAAATTGGGGCATTTCCAATACTAGTCTTTACCTTTAACTGCATATCTGTCATATCCAGGTAGTGTTCTGTCTGATCCAAGCATGGTGTCATCTTTGGACCATATAATGCTGCCTTGAAGATTGTCTATTGCACACTGGAGCGTCACATCTTGCCCCTCGACAACTTCAGTATCCACAGGTGTGGTGGCAAAGCTCTGCTGGCCGCGGACTGCACAATTACAATGGAAAGCAAAAGAGGAGATAAATAGGAACATATAAAAAGAGATAATATACATTCTTAACGAATAGATTAAATTAAATGCAAGAAAAATGTATACAGTGAAACCTGTCATGTAAAGACCATCCAAGGGAGACAAGAAAAGTGATCTTTATTGGCAGGTGGGCTTCGTGTACAGGTTCCTAATAGTACATGTTCCAATGAGAAACCATTTTCAAGGGAAACAAAAAATGTGGTTTTTTTTAGAAAGGTGGTCACTGAAGCAGGTTTGACTGTACCACCAAATCATGAAAGAACTCCCACAAACAGTAAAGTATAATTTAAACGATAACTGATGCAAAGTTTCTGGTTTTAAAGTAAAAAGTAGAAAGAATACAGTGGAAACCGATTAGGAACCTTTAAACCTGCTTATCCCACCTGATGGAGAGACCCTCCCAAGAAATTCTGTTCCACCTCATATTTCTCTGCCACATTAATTTCTCAAGAGACTCATGAAAGGGCCTGACCTCAAGATAATAGCTGCGTTCCCATTAGCTCCCCCCCCCCCTCAAAAAAAAAAGGGTTGAACTTGAGATATTAGGCCAAGTTTGAGGTTTCTTTTGACATAGAAAACAAAGTTATACATTTATTGATCAGCAGTTTTAGCACTGGTAGGCTCCAAGAAAGGCAATAACAATTTTTATTAAAAAATAGTTTGTTTGGCTTGACTACTGTTCACACTATTGGAAAAACCTCTCCTAATACTAGTCTGCAAGTACAGTCTGTACAGACATCTTATCTGACACTTTCCACAATTCCTCAAGCCTTGGGCAGAGCCTGGCTGTAAAGCAGCTTAAAGTGCAGAGCCTACTATAGTCTCATTTTGCAGACACTGTTACGCGCAACCACAGACAAGGGTTTGTGCATGCAAACTACTCTAACATTGGGTATAACCATGGACCTACGATTCTGTTACTTGGACTAATGAAAACGCGCCCCTTTGGAGTGGCCTGACCCTAAGCATAATTTGGAAGGATTTACCAAATTCCAGTCATGGAATGGAACACCAAATCCAAGTGCCTCGGGGTCAACAGAGGTCACACCTTTGGACCAATTTACTGAAATTGTAACAAAAGTGTGACAACAGTGTTACGCTGAAAAATTATCCCAAGCGCAAACACCCGGAGCCATTTGGTTTTACCGCTGAATAGAAAATCTGTGTTAAGTTAAACACCCTATTGTGTGGGAGGATTGGGGGTGCACACTTACAGGTATTTGAATGGTTTGAAAGTCAAGGCTAATAGGTTGTAGATTCAGTAAATTCAGTTTTGTGCTATGAAATTAATCCCCAGCGTGTGATGAAAGGATTTTCTGATTCCAGTTCTGATATTAGCTGCATTTACACTTCAAGAAAAAAAAAAGTTGGTTTTTCACTTTTTCTCACCATTTCAGAGTTCTGTTGGAAGCTGCTAGGTCAGGTAACTTCCCATAAACATGATGTATAAAAGAGGGGGAAAAAGACCTCTTGAGTATGGTGGGTTTTTTAACACTGGCCGAAACTCCACAGGTTTTGCAGTGTAATCGCGCGCTCCAACACCAGTGAGCTCTTTCAATTTTTGGTCACGGAAGATACAGTACTAGTTACTGTGCATACAGGCAATCAAATGATCAACAACCTGGTTCTATAAAGCTTTATTACATATTTGTAAGAGGCGAAATTAAAAACTTATTTCCACGGGTAAAGGATTTTGAGATACAACTCTGAAAATTCTCTAACAAGCGATAAAAGACAGATATCAGATTCTTCAGGTGCCTTTAGTGATGAAAATTTGAAAGGTGTGCAAAATAATACAATCGGGGTGGGGGGACACATTTTTTTTTAAAACACAGCATTACAAGTGCATGGTAAGGGTCAGTTCTGCCTCCCTCCTCCCCCCCCCCCCCCTACCCTAATCTACTTTCACATCAAATTACATGTAGAAAAGACTGTGTCTTTGGTTTTAAAAGGGGAAAACGATTTCTAGAAGGCCCCTTATATTTGATTTAGTTCACTTGTGCCAAGGTAAACTGTAGCTGTCAGATTCCTGTGGTGCAGCAGTGTAATATAAAATGCCCCTGGGGACAAGGCTAGAGGGTAAATAACAGGCAGACATTATGGTTTTCATGGAAACCTGAAAAATGACTTGGCTTGGAAGTTGGAGTGGCAGCGGGAGAACATGAGAAAGAGAAACAAGAAGAGATAGGGTGCATGCACAAGAGAGAGAGAGCGAGAGTGAGAGAGCGAGAGCGAGAGAGCGAGAGCAAGAGCGAGAGAGCGAGAGCAAGAGCGAGAGAGCGAAAGAGAGAGAGGGGAGAGAGGTTATACGAGAGAGAGGGGGCAGAATAGGGTGAGATAACGAGATACAGAGAGGGAACAAGGATTATATAGAGAGTGAAAAGATAACAAGAGAATAGAAAGAGATAGGAGATAAAAGAAGAACAGTAACACAAATGGAAAACACAAAAAAGGAGGAAATATTATACCCTGATGTACAAACTTGCAAGTTTCAGATTGTTTGTGAAAAGTAAGATATAGTGTATTAAAGCCTACATGTAGTATGTACATGTATATTGCTTGGTGTACAAAGGTGCTGGGCTTTACTAAACTTACATTTAGTTTTATTGGAGCTAGAGACAGGTGGAAATGATAAATCTTTATGAGATCAGAAGAATTTCTGCCAGAAGGTCAAGTGCTTAATCCATTTCCCAAAAGTTTGTGCAGTTTAAATGCAGTTTTTACAGTGTGATGGGAAATAGATAGTTATGGCATTTTCTTCTTCCAGCACCTTTAGAAATATAGGCCTAACTAGTCCTATTTTTGCTGAAATGTTTATTCATTTTAAATTCAAAATTTTGAGCTATAAGGTGTAAGGAGACAAAATTAAATCCCACACAAACTCGTTTTCAATATTTAGATGAAATAGTTGAATGGGCATCTCTAGTAAACTTCTACAAGAAGTTTTTCGGAGGAAAAACAAACTTTAACAAAATTAAACATGTTAAGTATTAAAACAGATAGCTTTATATGGCAGTTCTCCAAAAACTACTGAAATTTGTCTATTAAAAGCATTTTGTTGTTGTTGGGGGGGGGGGGGGAATGAGTTCACACTGTCTTTCAATAGTAGAAGACACAGATCTTTTTTTCTTCCACATGTACTTCTTCTTTCTTTAAAAAAAAAAAGAAGCTTACATTGATCAAAACAAAAACAAAGTTATGAATCCACACTAAACATACATGATACACTCAAACCACAGACCTACAGTACACAACTTACCTGGAAAGACTTGAAGACAAAGACTAATGTATACAATGAGCAAAGCAAGATGGCGTCCACATATGGTGGAGTTGTGATTCATGATTGGAGAATGTATCTGGTATCTCTTCACTTTGAACCTGTGGTAAGGGGAGATAAGGAAAGAAAACAGAAAGAGATGATAACTTCTCATGGCCAAAGATAAGACTGGTATTTCATCTTGATCCTTTCTCAGGCTTGTCACTTGATGTAAATTCACTGTCTCGCTACTAATATAACAGAATACAGTGGAACTTCGTTATAACGAGGTCATTGGGACCATGGAAATTACCTGGTTATAATATATCAGGAATTTTGTTATATAAGGGTAAAAAACATAGGAATATAACGAGCTGGGACCAGCAAAATCACCTTGTTATAAGTTATAACAGATACCTTGCGCTTAGAGACGTCCGAGATGTATTAAGCGCTACATAAAAGCTGAATATTATTATTATTATTATTATATCAGAGATCTCAACTACACTGTACACCTGATAATTCACATGTGTGTTTACTATAGTATAATGATAATGATGATGTATGTTTGTATATTATATGTACACTATATATCAAATCAAATCAAACCTATTGTAGTTTATTATACATCTGTACATGTATGTATAGGCCAATATATAATTGTGTACCTCATGTATACATGTATGTCCATGATCTCATCAATGAAAGCATACATTGTACATGTAGTAGGCAGGTCCATGGAGAAAGCAAAGAGATACTATCTCCAAGGAGTTACTACACTAGGAGTGGGGACTGGATTAGGGTCAAACGAACCATCCTGTATGCCGCGCTCCCCAAGCGACGATTCCACTAAATTGGATTAATGCCGCCTGGTCGCACCGGTCGTAAATAACATCACACAGCGCATGCGCAAGGTCGGTTGATCAGCCGGAACCGCTGTCATGTGCGGTGCATTGTAGGATATGTTTACATCCCGAACATGGCAGCTTTCTCGCGTGACGATTACTATTTGGAAGATGATATGGATTTTCTTACGGACATTGAAGAAGATTTGATTCTAGAATCGGAAGAGGATAGCCTATCTTCTGTGTGCATATGTAGCCTTCCTTCAACGGTTGATTTAATTGCATGTAATGGACCTAAATGTCCAGTTGGATTCTACCATCGCGAGTGTGTTAGTCTTCCGTGCAGTGCCAGTGTCGATAGTACAAGTGCAGGTGCAGGCACCGGCACATCCCTGGTCGATCCCGATCTTGATCACTGGCTGTGTGGATTTTGTCAACTAGATACAGACAAGGGAGGTGCTAAATCTACTTCAGAATCAAGTAAGATTCGGTTTAGAGTGTTATTGTAGAACCAGTGAGGTGTCACCTCCAGTGATTATAAGAAATACAAGGAAATAATAATTAATATAATGCCAGTCTAAACTTATTATTGCCACGTAGAGTCTACTCTACTCTACTCTCTAGCATCTCTAAGTTAGATCTAGACCCTAGGCCTAAATTAAATCTGATCACGATGCTAAAATAATTTATTTCATCTAGAGGTTTAGACTATTTTATAATGTACCTGTGGCTGTAAGTTAGGATCAAAAGCAATTGCAAACCAACTAAAAATTTAAGAAGGCAACATACCTTTGTGTGTGTTATCTGTGTCAGGCCAGGGGACAACTCGGCCCAGCTGCAAAAACGGTCATTTTACCCTAACCCTAACCCTAACCTGAACCTAACCCTAAACCTAAACATGCAAAAACTGACCGTTTTTGTACCTGGGCCGAGTTGTCCCCTGGTCCGAGTTAGCCCGACTCCCAATGGAGATATAATAAAGAATTGATAGCAACATCTTAAACTTTCTTGTCATTTAAATACAATGAATTATTGTTTTTTAAATGTCACCATTTTCCTTTTAAGGTGCTGTGCATGCAAGTACTGAGGCAACATGTGCACCATCTGAAGGCAGTGCTGCGACATCCAGCAGTGGGGATTTCCCGAGGAAGACTACCACTGACACAAGGAAGAAACGGAGGCAAACCAAAACAAGTAAGAAATTTTATTCTGAAGAAAAAATTTACTGCGCCTGCTGACTTGCATAGTGGTACAAATGGGAAATAGCAGCTGTACATGTACAATGAGTTCATGCCATGTTGAGTTGTCCATTGGACCATTTTCAATTTAAATGCTGTTTTTTTTTAATCTAAAAGGGCTGAGTTTTTTCTCTCAAATTTGAATTGTTTATTCAAATATACCACGCCCCCAAAATGCTTATTCAGTTTTTTGCATATATTTAAATTTTGTTAGTTTTAAATGGTAGAGTCAAGTTGCTGCCACAGAACACAAAATTGTTATTACATTTCTAAAGTCTAAACATTTATTATTCTGAAGTGTGATAATTCATTCAAGTTGAATGGAGATAATGTGAAAATGCACAGGTAGCATTAATGGAAATTTCTAATAGAAGAAAATTGTGCTATATATGAACATGTAATGGCAGAACTTTTTGTGTTAGATGGATGCCAGATGATGTGTTGGTTCCTGATTTCTTTCTCTTTGTTTTTTCATGAACAGAATTCGGTGCTCTTCAGAATCTAGAGGAGGTCAAGTCCAAGTCAGCGTTAGTTTTCAAGGAAGCTGTTCTCCAGCTGAAGTCCAACGAATTCTACCAAGAAACAGAAGTTGGGCGCAAAGTCATCGCCCTAGCAGACGAGATAAATTTTCATTCGGAAATTGTTGAAGGATCTGTGCGGGACATAGTGCAGGACATTGTTGAAATAATCAGTGCTGCAGAGGACAAGGCAGCAGGACCGGTGGCCAATACCTTCATCCTGACCAAATTCCAGACTTACAAGTGTGGAAGTCGAGCGACTCAATTATGCCTGGCAATGCTTTCTATGGAGGAGCCGTCCATTCCCTTTCGTTTTCTCCAGCAGTATGTTCTCCGTGTTGTCCTTGAGAAGCTGATGAAAATTATCAGGGGCGATGGGTTTGAACCGGAGGAGGAGACAAGTCCGTTGTCAGTTCACGATGAACAAGTTTTACGGTATGTAGCCGGGTACATACCGTACGCCCTCTGCAAAAAGTTTGGCCGGATGAAGTCACAGAGTGCACTTGCAATAACGGCATTTCTGCGTGAGTGGAAGAAGGACGACGATGACAACACAGAGTCCGACACTTTCCTACAGTACACATCAGTTTGGTTGACTTTCCAGAACAGAGGGGGGCTGTTTGTTGTGTCAGACACTGTCTACAAATTGTTCAGATCTTTGGAGCTGGTGACAAGGAAGCTGCTCACTCTTGGAAATAGTGAGACAGAAAGTTTGAAAGACAGATTGTTGAAGCACATTTTTGGAAGCGTACATGTACAGAACATGTGGTGCAAGGTGGCAGGCAGTCTAGACACGAATTTGTCGGAACCTCTCTTTTCTTCGATTGTAAACTATTGGGTGAAGATCAGAATATCATCGTATGTGAAGTTGTATGTCAGTTCACTCAAGAGGGAAGCAAAAATCGCAACTGGAAAAAAAAAAGGGACTGAGGAGAGAACTGAAAAAGCAGCAGAAAAAGTGAACATTAACATGAACCTATCTGTCTTGTGCCAGCAAAGATAAACACAATATTGGCACTGACACTATCTAGAACCAGCCAGCTCAGTTTGATATCAACAATGCAATTGTTATCAATTTACTTTCAGTTGTTTAATTCTACTTAAAGGGATCCGGTAACTTTGTCTTAGATCCTTTATAAATAATCCTTGATTTAGCTCATGCTGCAATGATAATTATAAACCTTTAGGTCAGTCAGGAACTCCATGACTTTTGCAAGCCGATCGCCTGTCTGATTATCAAGATATTTATGATTGGAATTACAAATTTTGAAAACCGTTCGCCGAACGGTTTTCATAACACTACAGTCTATTGGGGATAATGAGTATGGTAAAACCGGTCACTCAAAGATTTTTACTTTTTTTGAGGCACTACCTGATCATTTTGAAGCGCGATTTTTTTAGGGCTTCAATATTACACCATATAACAGACACTGGTAACATGTATCACCGTGTATCTCAGATTTAGCATTGTTAAACGATCCCTTTAAAACTTTCAGTTTTCTTTTAGAGTGGATCTACTAAGCAATTGATAGGTGAAAAAAGCTAAGGTCAGTAGGCCATGATCAAATTAAATGTTCTTACAATGTTTTTACAATCCATGTCAAACGTTTACATAGTTTTACAACTTCTGAGTCAAGACAAACATTAATACAGTTCTTTCCTCATTGTATGCAGGTAGTACATTTAAATTCTGAATCTAAATTGTGTAATTTGTGTAATTTGTGTGCCTTAGGGAGTTTGGGGTAGTTTTGACAACTTATAGGCTTTGAAATGGGCAGTTAAATGCATCTCAAAACCAGTTCAAATTCTACTTTCTCAGTTTACAGATGGAATACTGGTAAATTCTTTGTTGTTGGATATACATGTTTACTGTAAAGGTTCTTGTCATTCTTGAAAATAAAAACAAATGAAAAAACAAATTTTGCATCTAACATACATGCACATGTATTTAATTGTACTGAAGGATTTTGGAAGGGTAAAGAAATACATCAATTTCCATTGTTGATTATCTTTAAATCACAGTTGGCTCTGAAACAAACCCATAATTTGTTTGGTCAGAATCACTTACAATATTCAACAAAATTAGCTTTGCAACTTATGATTCTGAAGTTACAGTTGTTATAAAGCTCATTCTGAAATGAGACGAAAACGTTCTTTTGGCAAACACAGTTTTTCAAGGAAACTAGGAGTATTTCTATTAGAAATCTTGACTGTTTTGTTTGAATAAAGCATAGAACATGAACTCATAAATATGCTGTTTAACAATACTGATGATGCAATGCAAATTCTGTATCCAACTTAATAGTATAATTTTTTTCTTCTCTTATCTTGTTTGTTGCTGTCATTACTGTAGCACAAATCACCATGATAAAAACTGTATTTTAAGAGGTACAGGTGTAAACGAAATATGAATTATTTGCTTTCTTGGCTTGATAAACACATGTTTTCATGGAAAAGCCGGCACCACATTCATTATTTCATGTAAAGTAAATTGACCATATACAGTTGTAGTCAAAACGTTTATTCAAAGACCACTATTCCAAAAGTACCATTTGTGTCGAATAAAAACATATTTACTGTACAAATGTAATCTTTGACCACATACAATGTATATGTATGTGTAGTGATGAAAAAATAAAATTGTTTGTAATGATTCACATAAGCATACGATTCTTACATGTACTATGTGTTGTTGCCTATCATTACTTAACAAGTTGACAAAGAGAGGGAGTATAGTTATAAGAGAATGATCAGGGCAGTCATCAAAATAAAGTAACATCTAAATGTGAGGTTTCACGGAATGTGTATGCATAAAGAGGGATAAAAGGTGATGCAATTAGTGAACATCAAAAATATTAACCAAAAGAAATCAATGATGTCCATAATCAAATTCTATTATCTTGTTTTTGAGATATCAAAAGTAAAATACAGAAATCTTTCATCTTGGCTACATATTTCTGAAAACCTCAAATTTTGGTTCACATGTTGACACCATTTCGTCTACATGTTCTACAGAAGAGATATTTTCATGCCTGACTGTCCACACTTAAGTCTTAAACAAAACTACATGAACATGTATGCTCTCATGAAATTTTAACGTTGAAGGTGCAAATGATACTGCAAAAACGTTTTTGTTTAGTTTGGCAAAGATACAAAAATAAGAACCCTATATTTAATCACTGAATTGCATGAACAGTCACTATGCAATTAACAATTTAGGGTTTTTGTCCTCTGTCAATGTCACAAATATTGACCAACTAAATAAAATCTGCTCCAGATATTGTGCTTGGCATAGCATATTACAACTGGTTTTTTGACGGTTAACTCGAGTCATTAATCAAACATGATTACACACTATCACGTAGTTCCCTACTATGTCCTACTGCACATCTTTCCAGAGTCGTTTTTTTGTTCTTGGTAACGGTGTTGAGTCACAGGAAGAGGATGGAGATGACTCTGACTGAGTGACATTAGATCGTTTTGACGCTTTGATGGCAGCCCCGGCAACCTGCAGTGTGTTGAGATTATATCCAAACTGATTTACAGTTGGATTGTCGTATCTCCCTCCCATGCCTCTTTGCTTTGAGAAATGCTCCTCCAGGGGATCTTGTGAAAACTTCTCACTAAGTATGAATTTGACACCAGGTTCCATAAGTAGTTCTCTTGTGAGCAGAACAAATGCTTTGACTGAAAAGGATAACAAAACAAGACTTTAAAAAGAGAACACTATCACAAAGTTTAATTAAATATTTCAAAAACAAAATTTTTGAGGGGAAAGATCGTTTGCTAGATGATTCATTATTTTAAGTTGAAATGAGCTAAACACATTCTATATTAATTCACAATGTTATGTCATGTATCATTTAGGAAAACAGAATTGACGGGCTAAAGATTATATAAAGAAGCTCCCTGATGAATTAGGAACGTTAAATGAAAATTTAAAAACAAATTACTAAATAATACAAGAGCAACAACAATAACACAAAACAATACAAAAAACTAATACAAGCATGAAGAGAAAAGTACAAAACATGTACATGTACACCCTGTACCTGTGAATTTCAATCCTTCCAGCGTTTGCTTGCTCAAGCAAAGTTTCTCCTTCTCAGCATTAGTGAGGGGAGTTAATTTGCCCTCTGTCTCCCATTCTTCCAAGAATGACAGGAAGTCCTCCTCTAACCACTGCAAATAAATGACAGATAAAATTCATGATTAAAAGCACAGAAAAGTGGCAAAGGAAGCAAACATACATCCTATTCATCCTTGCCCTATGACAACTTGCAATTTTTTTTACTTTATTGATTTTCCCCCAATTGCATGCAAACAAAATTATGAGGAAAAGATAGAGATGTTCTTTTATGGCAAACTCAAATGATTTATAATAATATGACATGAGTTTTACAATGAACGTACTCCGGTTATACCTCCGTGGTTCTACCTATTGTAGCACCTCGACCCCCTCCCCCCCACCCAACAACAAAAATATATTATAATAATAAATTTTTAAACAAGAAATAGGTTGCCATATATCCTGATCTATGGACTGGCTTCAATGTAAGCGAGTCCTGTGAGTGAACTTACTGTAAGTCTCCAGTCTGATACATCCGTATATGGATGAAGTGCAAGTTTCTTCTGCCGTTTCCCACTGTTGAACTGCGACACATTCATGCAGTCAAAGAAAGTATCGATGTAGTTGATGTACAAGGCAGTGCTGGCAGTCTCTGGACGTCCTTGGATTGTCAAAGCATTCACCATTGTTGAACTGAGGACCTGTATTTCATCATTGAAATATAGGGAGAGATTCAAAGTAAAAAAATATCAACTAATGATCTCCATTTTATACTATGGGAGCATACATTTAGGTTATCTTTAAAAATCATGAGGCCTATTTAAAACAGCCCCAAAATCCAAGTTTTGAAAAATGTATTCTGATGCATTTTAAAACAAAATTTCATCTGCAAGCTCATAGCAATCCAAATTTACCTGAGCAGCCAATTTGACCTTCATTCGATGACTCGGAGTGAGATGTATGTGTTCTTCTGTGATGCGATGAAGCATCCTCAAGCCAGTACACTGCTGGAGGTCCCAGTTGTACACATCAACTATGTGCTTCCAGGATACACTCAATCCTCTGAACTAAATAAAGAAAATTGAAATAAAAACATCAAAATTAAAATTCCTTTGAGAAAGAAATGTAAAATAAACAAATTTATAATGCCTATGTTTATACAATGCATATTATGGACAGTTTGGAACTTTTGATAGTTATAATTGAAATAGAAATAGATGTATTTGTTTCATAATTAATTATATTAATTAGGTCAATGCAATCATGTAACCAATTCTATAAAACAGTGCACATACATTAGGTGATAAAGTACAAAAATGTCAAACCATTTAATATTGCCCACACATGATGACATCTAATTCCTTTTCTTATTATTTATTTAATGTCATTTTCTTTGGTACATGTTCATATCAATCATGTATCCAAATGATTGATGTAGAAGCTGTGTACTTTAATAAAGTGAAAGATAAAGGCATTAAATTCGTCTGTCAAGTATCATACATGTCATTTCTTATATTCTAATTTTTATCTACAAATTTATTTTTCACCTTAAAGCTTTCAGGATTGTTGATGGTAAATAAACATTTAAAAAAATTACCATCATGTTTCGGGTACTGTTGTGGTATCCAGATTTCTCAAGATTGTTTCGGCATGTTTTAAGCAGGTGAGGGACATCGCTGAACAGATAAATGGGGCGTCCACTGAAAGGATTCAGGAATGATGGATGTCTGGGGTCTTCTCGCAGCATATCATAGAATTTTCTATTCTGGGATGCTCCATCTGAAACGAGAGCCCGTACGTGGAAACCCGAAAGTTCAAGAAGCTCAATGGCTTCGTGTACAATGCAAAAGAGT